GTTGCGCAAAGCTTCATTAAACACATTATAATCTCAAACGGGCTGATGTGGCTCTAGAGTGGTTACAGTTTATATGTCGTAAAGTTGAATTTATTTATGCAGATAGTAATAATAATGATGATAAATTTTAATACAAAAAAACATTAATGATTAATCGATAATCAATCGTTAATTCTCCGGATGATCGATTAAGAAAATTTTATTGAATGCCCATCCCTACTTTAAACCCTGTTTTTGACCATACTACAGGTTCGGATTCAACTAAAACAAGAACAAGGAAGCTTTTGGAACAATATTGTGGAGAACTGAATCTGATTGAAGGTTGGAGATATTTTAATCCCAGAAATCTCGATCACGCATAGATTATTTTCTTGTCTCACAAAGTTTATTATCCAAAATCAAGGATTGCTGGTATTACGGCATTGTTATTAGTGATCATACACCAATATGTTTGAATATACATATTGATAAACTCATCCATTGCCCCTGCAATTGGCATTTCAAAACCATCTGGTTACAAAATGAGGACTTCATTGTGTACATAAAAAATAAAATTGATTTATATTTTGAGTTAAACACCAATCAAACTAGCGCCAGTACATGGTGGGAGGCATTCAAAGCTTTCATCAGAGGAGAAATCATTAGTTATACAAGCTCAATATTCAAACAATTAAAAGCAGAGTTGCTCACTTTAGAAAGACAAATAAAAACACTGGAATATGATATAGATCAAGTAGATTATTTAACCAAACAAAAAGAATTGCACCTCTTGAGAAGTAAATATAACAAATTATCAACAGAAAAAAATGAAAAAAGTCTATTGTGGCTTAAACAGTCCTATTATGATCAAGGGGAAAAGGCAGGAAAACCTTTAGTGTGGAGAATTAGGAAATTGCAGACAGAACGGGCAATCAATAGTATAAAAACATCTGATGATGAGTTAACTTGTTAACTTTACCCTCAACAAATTAATGATAGATTTAGATAGTTTTATAAATGCCTCTATAAATCAGAATCCCCTCAAACATCATGTGAGAGGGACGTATTCCTTAATTCCCTCGTCTTTCCTGTACTTACAGAAAATGAGAGATTTGATTTAGAAAGTAAGTTAACACTGGAAGAAGTATCTGCAGCTATTAACAGTATTAATACCAGTCGTGCTCCTGGCCCTGACGGCTTGACAATAGAATTCTATAAAGCATTTGAGAAACGGCTATTACCTCCTTTGATGGATATGTATCTTGAATCATACAATACGGGAATTCTACCGCACTCCCTTAGACTTGCTTTAATCACGCTGATCCTGAAACCAAATAAATCCCCCACAGACTGTTCCTCATATAGACCTATAAGTTTAATGGGATGTGACACTAAAATACTTTGTAAGATTCTTGCATTACGACTAGAACAATATATTCCAAATTTGATACACAGTGACCAGTGTGGATTTGTGAAATGGCATCATGGTTTCCACAATATTAGAAGGGTACTGAATATAATCAATGAGCGAGCAGAATACAAAGACACAGCACTGCTGTCATTAGATGCACGTCAGGCTTTTGACAGAATTGAGTGGCCTTATTTATTTAATGTCTTACCACAGTTTGGATTTGGGAGTACTTTTCTCAGATGGATTCAAATATTATATACAAATCCAACTGCAAGTATCCTTACTAATACCATATCTTCCAAACCTATCGTTTTAGAATGGCCCACTCACCAGGGCTGTCCCCTTTTTCCAATGCTGTTTATATTAGCCTTAGAACCCCTGGCTATGGCCATTCGCGCTGTTGTGGGCCTGTCCGGTATTCATATTGGTGATAGGGAACATAGAATATCTCTTTACTCGGATGATGTGATTTTATTTCTGACCAATCTATCTACAAGCCTACCGAATGTAATTAATCAAATTAACATTTTTGGAAGATTTTCAGGTTACGTGATTAATAATACAAAATCTTCCATTTTGTTTTTAAACAAGGAAGAGAGACTCAATCCTGTGGTCCAAACTCCATTTGTAAATGCAAGAGAGGGATTTACTTATTTAGGTGTCAAACTTGCTCCTGATATTGGGAGTGTGGTTGAATTGAATTATAATCCCTTAATGGCAGAGGTGCAACAATCATTAGACAATTGGATAACAATGTCGATCTCTATAATTGGGTGAATAAATATTATTAAAATGGCCATTTTACCAAAGTTTTTGTATCTTTTTCAGTCTATACCTCTTCCGTTGACTGAATTATTTTTCAAACAGATAAATAAATTGCTTCTAAGATACATTTGGAACAATAAGAAGGCAAGATTAAGACTGAGACTCCTTTACATGCCTTACGAAACAGGAGGCTTACAGTTGCCCAATTTTAAATGGTATTATTGGTCTGTTCAGTTATGTTCTGCAATGTTTTACTTCTCAACAGAGGATCCACCATCTTGGGTAGGAATAGAACAGGAAACAATTTCACATCTGTCCATAAAATAATATTTGTACTCTGCTGAACCTAGAATATTAAAAAAGCACACCTACAACCCCTTTTTGTGGAATACTATTGATATTTGATACAAATTACAACAGGTTGGAGAGACACCTTTGTTCTCATGTTTTTCTCCCATATGGGGTAATGCAGCCTTCAAACCAGCAAGGGCAGATGGGGGTTTCAAAATATGGGCACAGAAGGGTATAAATAATATAGGCAATATTTACACAAATGGTGAACTACTGATGTTTAATCAAATTTGTCAAAAATTTTCTATCCCCAAGAAACATTTTTTTTAAGTTTGTACAATTGAAACACTTTATGTCATCAAAGCTTAAAAATATTTTCTGTAAACCTCCTCTATCTAGTATAGAGGATATTGTCTCCTCAAATTTAAATGGAAAGAAGCAGATCTCCCTGTTTTATAGGACTTTAATGTCACATGATAAAGTATCAAGCAAGGATGGGCTGGAAGCATGGATGATAGACACTCAAGAGAATATTGAAGTTGCTGATTGGGAGAAAGCCTGTCTTAAAGCCCAAAAACAAACCATCAGCACTAGAATGCGGTTGTTACAATATAAATGGTTAATGAGAACTTATGTCACTACTGTCAAATTACATTAATGGACCCCCTGCATTCCAGATATTTGTAAGAAGTGTGCAAATGATAAGGGTACTCTGTTCCATTGCTTATGGGACTGCTGGAAAGTTCAGAACTACTGGAAATCTGTGATTCATACCATATCCAGTGTAGTTGGTGTAGAAGTTCCTCATCAGGCAACCCTCTGTATATATGGAGTTTATCCCAATGACTTTGTTCTTAATAAAAAAAAAACAAGCCACACTGGTGGATTTTGGTCTCCTGCAGGCCAGGAGGGCTATCGCTTTATTTTGGAAAAATGCGGATACGCCGTCTATAAAAGTTTGGACTATTGAAATGGCATCTTGTATTGCATTGGAAAGACTTACATTTATTTTGAGAGGAAAAGCTGAGGACTTCGAGGACATTTGGAGACCCTTACTAGAATTTTTGAAAAATAAGTAATTTTTACTGTAACATGTACAATACTGAATATCATATGAATATTTACATGTTTTCACTTTGTTATTATCAGTGACAATTCTCTGTGTGCAATTAATGTTGTTATTGGTTTGGTTTGTTTGTTTTTTGTTTCTATATGTTTTGTTAATATTTTAAAATGAAAAGCTCAATAAATACATTGTTTTTTTTTTAAAAAAAAAACATCCATTGTTATTGACTGATTGATGGTCCAGTCTTTAATTACACTTGATGAATACTTCATCATTCTCCTGCACTCTTTAATGAGATAAGACACATGCTTTGATGACACCCATTAGCACTCATAGCACTGGGACATTTCAGTATAAAATGAGAGCATCTTTAGCACAGTTCTAGTTCTAGTGTACTGTGAACAGGATGTCACCACGGTCACAGGTCTGAGGTGCATCACAAGAGTTGTGAAAACCATTTTGTATGGACTTTATGTGATAAAACAAATAACTGCTACAATGACTAATAACTACATAAATACTGAACTTAAATGATATTTCATGTATTATGAAATATATCCAAGAAGTAAAAGTTGTCATGTTTGTGTGTTTTGTGCTCATATTGTTTAGATCTGGTATAGCTTCACTTCAGCTCTGGTGAAGAATATGAAAAGAAAAGACTTTTACTCATCAGCATTAGCTTACTCTGCTTTTTATATTCATAATTCATAATAATCATTTAAGGTTTTAGTCCTCATACAAGTAAATTCACTTGTTTCTGTTGTACTCAATGTTGTTTACAATAAACGCAAATCAAAAATCATGAGAGATGACTGGTATAGTTTCATTTTCACAAAAGATAAAGCACAATATGTCTTAACTATAAATGAATTAACTGTATCTCTCAAAAGAAGAAGTGAGAGCCCACTTCTTCTAAAGATGTACTATTAGTTTAAATACATTTTCAAATCACATTTTTAAAGCATGAATAATCATTTTAAGGTGTCTTAAGGTCTTAAGAGTGGGAAGGTAGACTGACTGAGAAATGTTACAGTTTTTCTTTGTACAGGTTTGCAACAAATGTTAAAGGGGCACTATGCAACTCTTATAACATCTACTTCTTCAGCTGCATGTTATAGCTTTGCCTGAAATGTTCCACAGTATGGCATTAAACATATATATTTTGCATTTCTTCAGTTACCTATCTATATTGCCAAAAAATATCTTGAATAACATCTATTGTTACTGTGACTTTTAACTTTTCTTTGAAGTTTAATGCCATATTATGGGACATTCCAAAATAACAACATTTGTGTAGTGACAAGCTTGGCGGACCCTCCACCAGAAAGTTATGTAGTGGTGCACCTTTAAGTGTTAATTCAGATATTAATGTTACCTTTTTTCAGTTTTGTTAAAATGTGAAAAATATGAACCTGTGTGTAAAAAAGATGCAGCTATCATGTGGCAATAAACCTGTAAGGTCTAATAAAAGAAGAACGGAAACTTGACTCGCCACATAAAACTAAAGGGAAATAACAGTGCCTCACAAAGAGGTGGAAACATTTGCATGCGTCCACCAGACAAGATGAGTCTCTCTAAGTGCGCCCTGCTGGTTTTAATTCTTCATTTATGTGGTAAGTTTTAACACCTTTGAACAATCACAATAATTAATGCAGATTATTATCATTAAATGCTGATGATTTTGTTTTTCAGTTTGCCATTGTATTGCGTCCTCTTGGACCGTGGACATCCCCTCCACAGTCAAGGCTCTAGTGGGCTCTTGTGTGGTGATCCCCTGCTCCTTTGACTACCCTCCTCCACAACAAAATGTTACTCAGTTGACAGGAATTTGGACTGATTCAACAAGCCATTTAATTTACCACCCACAAGAGCGGAAAGCACTGGTTCAATATCGAAACAGGACAAAGTTACTGGGAGACCTCCGCCTCAAGAACTGCTCACTCAAGATTGATCCTGTGCAAACAAGTGACAAAGGGCCATACCATTTTAGGATAGAGATTGCAGCATATAATAATTATTCCTACAAACAAAAAGCTGTTTCTATTACAACTACTGGTAAGTTAATGTATGCATTATTAATTTTACTGGTTAGTTTTGCACAATATTAGGCTATATGTAGAAATATAAGATATGAATCTTGAGGCTAATTACTATAATACTACATACCATAATTTGTTTTAAGACTGTAGAACAATGAGTAAAAAATAGGCCTATATGTGATCCTGAGAAAAACATGTTTTAAGAGGCACAGTTAGGTTTCTTTTTCAGTTTGTGTTAATTGCTTTTGTTATGATGCAGATGTTCCAGAGCCTGTTGTGATTTCCGTGAAAAAGGAAGTACTATTGGCTGATTCAGTGTCTGCGCACTGCTCCGTGTCTCACTCGTGCCCTCAGTCTCCACCGCTCTTAACATGGTCTCGTGCAGGACACGTGCAGGTCCACCATGAAAAGACAGGGGGCGCTGAGTGGCGAACAAATTCAACACTCACTTTTCAGGCAAGTCGTAGCGACCACAACAAGCTTCTAGAGTGCACAGTGAGCTACAGAGGAGGGATCCAAAGGACTGCAAACACGGTTCTGACAGTTAAATGTAAGACACTTTACTGTTGCCTACATGTGTATTTATAGCCAATCTGGCAGTGCGCAGATCTATAAATTTTAACTGTAACTACTGACAAATGTCTAATCTCCCTCAGTTCAGAATGTTGTTGTGCCCTTGAACCCTGTAAAAGTGTTCTTGTGTGTTTGATGGTGTTTGGTGTGTCTGTTTGCACCGTGCAGGATGCCTCGGCTCCATTTTTGTGCCACAATGCAATTTAGTGCCATTTAGTGTAGGACAGTGAAGCGAATCACTCATTTATAATGTTTGATCTACGGCTGATATATTAAGATCTCTTTAGACATCATAGGGGCCATTTTAGGCTCGGGGGCTGAGAGATACCCCCACCCCTACTTTTTTGAAAATGTAAATAGTCATATATTGCTTTGCACAAGGGTTTTTTGGGGCGATGCTAGGTTTCACAATTTGATAAAGTAAACCTTTTTAACTTTAAACCATGTTTACTCCAGATGCTCCAGAGATTAGAAATGCATCATCCTGTTACCATGAGGGTCATCATGTAAGGTGCATGTGTATTGCTAAGTCCAGCCCTCCCAGTGAAGTCCACCTGCTCTCAGAGGGACAGCTGCTGGACACCACCACAGAGCGCTATGGCCTGCTCTCAATTGTGACTCTACAGGCAGACATAGGACTGTTTAGTTCTGTCACATGCATCGCCAACAACACTGTGGGCAGCACCACTCTGCTACTGCCTTTATCTCAGAGTAAGATAATCTGTTTATGTTTAAAGCAGAACAAACATTTAAAAAATCTTTATTTTTATATTACAGGCAATATTTATATTTACATTGGTGTTAGCATCGGAGCAGCTGTTCTGCTTTTAATCATACTCCTCGTAGTAGTGGCAAGAAAATGGTATGTAAAATCTCACAGTGCTATTTGATGTATGTACATGATTAAATAAAGCTGAATTATATTTATAAGGACAATTAAGATTCAGCATTGTGTTGGACTGTATGCTCCAAAGTGAACTGTGTGTATTTCTGCAGTTCTCAGAGAAAACGTAACAGTGAGTCTACTTCTCTTAAACACAATCATGACCTAGGACTGGAGAGTGCAAAGTACACTGCTCCAATGAGGTAAAAGCAACAATTTCTTTTAAACATTGTAGTTTTCTTTGTCCAAATATGTGATTTGTTTTTGCCACTATCCAACAGAAAGAAATGTCCTGATGTCCATTACCCAGATTTAGATTACAGTGATCACACATATGGTAATGAAGAGGTATGCCAGTGTCATCTTGTAATAATCGCACTGTTCAAATAAACACAAATGACCATTTCTCTCTTTTTTCTGCAGACCTTTGATCCAGAGGATGATGCAGTGTATGCTAATGTCTGACATAAATTGACTCTTCCTATCCTGTAATATAAGATGTTTGGTGAAAGGAACACATGACATGTCTAAAACAAGTAAAAGACAACTAACAGACCTGACAGTGAAGCTCACGTCTTCTGTTCACAGTACCAGAATGTATCTTGTGTGGCAAAAGCTGGCAGTTAACTGTAACAACCACAAGAGGGAGCTGTTTTTCATTTGTTTTCAAACTGTTCAGCAGGTGATGCAACCATGACAAGTTACAGGTCAGATGTATGGAGAGGGAAACCTGTTCTTGAAGTGCATGTATGTAGTACTTGGTATTTTTAGCAAAAAAAAAAGTGAATAAAAGCAAGACAGACCATTTTAATACCAAACTGTTAAAAATGTAAAGTGTAAATGTAAAATGTAATGTAAATATAAAATGTAAAGCAAAGCAGTCTGTATGGGGACAATCAGAAGGCAAATTTCTACCAGAAAAATGGCATAGTGCACTTTCTATTATTCATTTTTTGTCATGTCACATGTTCAAATCTCTTAACTGCAACAGCTTGCCACAAAGTAACATAATCAAAAACTGTCAAATGCTTTCATTTGAAGACAATTTTAAGGCCACTTGCTTCAGATTATTGATAATGGTGATATGTTGAAGAATGTAGTATTGTGTGGGAGCTGCAGTCACATGAGGACGAGCTAATGAGTCTTAATCCCTTCAGCTCACCCCATTGGTATTCAGCCCATGGACCTCTGCTGCATCTTTTCTATTGGATACAAGATATATGGGGATATCAGGGAAATCAAAAAGAACTTTATTGATCACACAGTGAGGAAAACAGCTTAATACATAATAAAGTGCAGAGTGAAGTGTATATGCAACAAAATCAAGTAGTTTAAACAAGTTTACGATTACTACAGAAAATATGATTTATTTATCTTTTGCTGGATTTCAGTGTCTGTTGGCCTTAGTCATGCCATATAGTCAAAAGGCTCATTCAGAAACAAGTGACCACAATAGACACTTCACATGTATTATCATGATACTAGACACACAAGAACTGATATGATACATACCCATTCTTAGACAAAACTGTATTTATGTAAAATGAGACTCTTCTCTTACACAATACAAGGATATAGTTCAAACAGAGTGTCGTTAAAGATATTTACTGACAAAGCATTTATACAAAGTTCAGTATTTCAGCAGATCAGCTTTTTGTGGCAGAACTGAAAAAGTTGTGTGATATGTGTGGTTCATATAAATTCTAACTCAGCACAATCTTTGTGCATTTTTATACTGACTGTTACTGCTGCACTGTTGTTCATTACTAAAAATATAGGGTGTAGTTGTAGCATTTCATTTTGAATTCATAGGCCTACTACACCCTTTAGTCTTAAGTCTACAACAAACTATATGCAATAATATTTCAAAATATAACTATCAAATCCACAAGGGTAAAGCAAAAATCAGTGCATTGTTGTAATTTTACACACATTTTAACATTTTAAAGCTTGAGTAGATACTTTAGTTTTGTTAAACATTAGCATATATACTTTCATCCATGTCGGCGGAAGTGTCAGGCTGGTGTGACAGAGGCTGTTAACACAAACAATTATTAGTACAACACAGTTGTAGTCACAGCAGTGTTGAAAAAAGAACTGAAAGTATGAAATTAAGTTTACATTTACATTAAGAGTTGTCAAATTAACAGTACAAAGTATGAAAAAACTCCTCAAAGTTCCATAGTTTTCTTTGAAATACATTTTTAATAGCATTTTAGTTCTTTATCTGACACATGCTGAACTTGCCAGTGCCAGTGGAAGAACAGAGACAGAGATGTCAATGCATTGTGACAACTACGACTTGTAATGTGCTCAAAATCAAAACACATATGAGCCTCATTTTAAATGTACCAAAGTACTATCACATTTCTAAAACTGTATACAATAGCAAGTACATTTACATGTTTACATATTTTAGTAAATGAGTATGAAATGTATATAAACTAGAACCATACTGTTTTACCTGTATGTTGCCATACACAGGTTCATCATCAATAACTTTCTCTCCTGGATCTTGAGGGGTGTTTTTGGTCAAACCAGACAATTCCCTAAAACGATCACCAAACAATTACAAAATAATACAAAATAAAAAGTTAATAGAAAAAGTAAAATTTTCCCTATTGTGGTTAATGTAGATCAGTATAATATATTACCCTTTGGTCCGATTCGCAGAGCTTCGGCTAAAGTTTGCGTAATATCCAGATGTAGTTCTGCTTAAAGACTGTGACCTGAGAGAGAAAAAACAACATTTATGATTCTTACCTTTTTTTAACCAGTCCAATGTTAAAAAAAACAACAACAAACAAAAAAAAACAAAAAACAACAACAACAGACAAATGTAAAAAATACTGTTAAAAGCCAAGTTATGATATATTATGAAGTTATTTCAATGATAAACAAAACCTAATTCTTTATTTTCCAAATGCTCTTGAGTGTTTATAACCTATTTGTCATACATTTTAATTCCTCTTAATTTGAATTCTAATGAAACAGACACAAAACTAACTCAAAATTACCTGCAACATTTTCTGTAGATGAGAAAAACTATCAAAGAAACTATCGCCACAAAGATCATTGAGGCAATGGGAACTACAACAGCTATGACAAGTGGAAATGAGGAGACTGGAGATTGTGTTGTAGCCACTGTAAAAGATAAAGAAAAAGAACAGTTTTATAATTCTGGATTGGATCATTATTTTCAAATAAATAATTTCAATTTACAGTGTGTGAGTGTTTCGTTTGGATAAATGGTGGTTGTCCTGCTTGTGGCAAGAGGTGTAGTTATGAGTTTCACTTCTGTTACTTCTACTACTGAAAATAAAGGAATATGAAGTTGTTAGAAAAACATTTTTGAGGAAAATTACTGCGACACAGAAAGAGCGATAATCTAAATAATAATGGTAGAAAATTTACCAATCAGTCATTGCTTTTATGTTATACTTTTCAAAACTCATAAAGGTCCTACCTGGAGCAATGGTCACTGGTCTTCTTGTTGTAAATGCTAATAACAATCATAGAGTTACAATATACAAATATCCTATATACAGTGACTGCTTACTAATGAGTCCTTACCATTTACTTTAATAGAAACAGACTTTTTGTAGAAACTGTATGGTTTTTGCAGCATGACTCTCACATAGAGTTTGGATTCATCCTGTTGTACGTTCTTAATCTTAAGAGAGCAGTCCCTAAGATGTTTCTTACCAACCAGTGAAGTCCTTCCTCTGTACTTTTCAATAATTTGAGAAGAATCTGGGTGAAAAATAAATGGATTATGATCTCCCCCTTTATTTTTGTTTTCATTCTTCTTCCAGAAAACTTTCACATCATTTGAGTGGTGCTCAGATGGATAGGTAAAGTTACATGGGATGACAACATCTGAACCAAAGACTACATCATTATGTTCTCTGAGGTCAACTGTCCAGCCTTCGCCTATGTTGAAAAAAGAAAAACATATTCATTTTAACTGATTAATAGACTATATCATTAAGATAAATGTCCCTTACCATTTGTACCAGATATCATAATAAGTGCAAACATAAAAGAAATCCATAAGTGCAGCATTATCAGTGACAAAGCAATCTAACCTCTCACAGTTTACTGGCAAAGTTATCTATTTTAACAAACAGAGCTACAGTGTGATAGGTGGGTGTGTTTTCCTGTTAGTTATAGTGTGAAATTAAGTGAACACTGTAGTATGAGTATGTCAGTTGTCAACATTCTGAGAAAATAAAGTCCTAGCCTCTTTCTAAAAATAAATTATAATTGACTAATGCATGAAAATCCTTTACAATCTTCAGACCCAACTGAGTCCGCCCAGTAACTCTACAGCCAATGCATTGGAATAAGAAATCAAAATGTATTTTTTGAAACTGTGCTAGTTAAAGTCATATTTTATATTAATTAATTAAAACCTGTGGACTAATTAGTAGAACCTGTAACCCATAACATAACCTTCCATTAGTATGTTATACCCAAAAAGGTAATCTGATTTGTAATTTGTAAAGTCAAAGATTTAACAGCTACATGTTTTTCTAGGTATTTTAGCTGCTGCAAACAAAACTGAATATTTTTCCATATACTGTGAAAAACATCAAGCCCACATCCCCATGGGGACAAGTAGGTGCCGCACCCCCCAATATAAAAGTTACATAGCTTAGTTCAAATTAAATTAAAGACAAAAAGTGAAGTATTAGATGAAGCCACTAGATGGAGCAAGTGTGCGTGCATCGCCCTAAAGCTCCACCTGGAATGTGGAGCCTAACTCGGATCCCAAGGTGCGGTCATATGACTCCCAGCTGCTTCACGAGCGCTCAGCCTGTGTGGCTTAAATCATATTCTACGGTTTACTACTTCATCTATCTCTCAAACCTGCCGGTCACCAAAGTCCATTAATTTTATGTCAAAATGCGTGCTTTGGGATAGGAGGATGTCGGTTTGTCGCTCGCTCATCCGAACGGTTGGTACCTGTCCGCGCGCTCATGGACCGTTCACACGCAGGTGCAGCAGCAGAGGCGCACGCGGGAGCCGCGCACAGGACAGAGGCACACAGGACAGAGGAACACAGGACAGAGGCACACAGGACAGAGGAACACAGGACAGAGGCACACAGGACAGAGGCACACCGGACAGAGGCACCGGACAGAGGCACACAGGACAGTGGCGGCGCTCAGCTGTCCGGCTCTAGCCGCAGCACGAATCACTTTACCTGGAGTCATGGACGCGGAGGGCAGGGTGGACGAGTCCAGACTGAGGAGGCATGTTTTCAAAAACGGTACTTATTATTATCACACAAGTATTAAACTGTCGTAATTTAGGCCATCTTTATTGTTGGCTTCATTTGCGACAAATCAACCATATTAAGCCCAAAAATGTGTGATATGGCTGTGGCAAAGCAATATTTTAATGTTAAAAATATAGGTTATTATTTGGCTCTGGCAAAACTCTGGCAAAATTTCAATGAAAGCATTAAAGTTACAGCGAGTTAAACCAATATAATTTGATACTAATATTACTCTTTCTAAATAAATTGTCTTAACTTATATAGCCTAAATAGTCTATATAAAGGCCAGGGTGATTAACATCAAGTGGTCAAGTGATCGTTGAGTTACAGTCACACTGGTTATTAACAGCCAGTATTTTGCCCCAAAACACAGGCACCATTTATGAGTTTGCAAGATTTCTCAGAAGTCAATATCACATGAGAGACAAAACACCCTCAAGCCAAAAGCATGATGCCCTATTATTCAGATGAGCATGGTGGAAAAATATGTATAATAGCCTAATGATCACCATCATTATATTCTGTCATACATGGTTAGCAATTGTTGAATTTCCTCTTTGTCTGTGTTTTAATAGGCCTAGTACCAAACCAACTCAACTTTTTTCTCCTTTTGGCCCAGGGGGTCTGCTACCTCATGAGAGAAGCCTTGTGTGGCGCTTTCTGTTTGGGATGTACCCCTGCAGCTCCACTACTCTGGAGCGCCCCCTACTGCTGGAGCAGTTGGTCGTCCGATACCAGGTCATGAAAGGAAAGTGGCAGCATTTATTTCCATCAACAGTGAACATGCACATCAATGGGACAGATGGTAAATGGCTTTGTTAGTGTAGGTTTCCAATCTGAAACAACTGATGCTTCATGAGTTTTGTCTTTGTAATTACAGTGGCATTAATATCAGCCATTGAATACTTCAACAAGAGACAGGCTCGGGTCAAACAACAGTCCCTGGAGTACAGAGATGAGATCAGAGAGAGGCTGGGCTTCTTAGAGCTCCAGGCGCAGGTTTGAATACACAATAACACACAATAACACTAGTGGCTCAGTCGATGGAGCTTTCACCAGCCCCAGCTCTGGTTCAGACACACTTCACGCACCTTGCAAATGTATGAATGATTACTAAAGGGAGAGGTGGGGCAGATTTCCCATTTTTCAATCCCTTTTTAAAATTCAACTAACTCCAGTGTTTGGTGATTTGTATCAATTGTTTAGTCAGAGTAATGTTTTTACATTTGTTGTTTTAATTTTCTTTGCTTCACTCTTTTTGTGTAATATTGGTAATAAGCCCTGTCATTTACCTTTGGTGTGGTTTTAGTGTTTATTTTCTGAATAAATAGAGACATATATGAGGTCCTTTTTTACATGTTGTATTTGCTTCATTTGTTTGGGCAGATCTTGTTTGAGCGGGTTACACTGGATCAAGAAGAGCTGCAGGAAGCAATAAGAATAATAGACAAAGACGTGCCACGAACAAACAGAGACCTGAGCTATTACAAGTCAGTTGGTCACATCCATTCTGAGATTTTAAAGGCACAATGTATTTTTCTAGTGGGGTTTCACCATCTGCTTTTACCCATAAAGATGTTCCAGAGTATGACATAATATTTTATGTTAGTTTGTGATCATGGTCTCACCCCTTGGTTTGACTGTGACTTTGTGCTGAAAGTTTTCACTTTGCCATTTGCCATTTAACTGCAAACTAATTCTTATGATCTATTTAACTTATATATGTATTTACTTTACTTATTTATTTTAGGATAGAATAAAGCAGTTGCCAAAAACAAAACAATATAAATGTTGAATTTAATAACATGTCCTGACTGAGAAAAAAATTGGAGGATTGGATATAATATTTGAACTGATACCAAATTAACATAGTTTCCATTCTGCCTGGCCAATCATTCTTTATACTGAGACAAAGATGGATTATGTTATATTTTTCATGTATTTGTGCAGAGGTGAGGGCTCAGGTAATCTCTTGGTCTTAAGAGACATCCTCATCACTTATGCTGCTTTTCATCCAGGTAAAACTTGCAAGCCCTGTCAATTCTTATCTGTAACATTCATATATACATCTGAATAACAATATCTTACACAGAAGTGAGTTATGCACAAGGAATGAATGACCTGTGCAGCCGCTTCCTGGAGGTTCTGGACTCAGAAGTGGACACTTTTTGGAGTTTCTCCTGTTACATGGAGAAGTTTTCAAAGGACTTCAGAGCTGACGGGCTGCACCGAAAAATAGGTAATTACATTAAAGCTAAAGGTTAAATAAAATTTCTGTGATAAATTCATGATGAACAGAAGAGATGACATTTTGTCTTAGTTAATATATATAATTAGAATATAACACTTAATATTATGTATAAAACAAAAGTAATTTCACTTCTATTTGGGTTGTTGATGTGGGTGTTTGGTGTTTAAGAATTGGAGGCAGCATTGTTAAAAGAGCTGGACCCACAGCTCTATGGCCACCTAATGACTAACAACATGGAGAGTTTCACTTTTTGTCACAGGTATTTTCAGTTCATTTAAAAAAATTAAATTTGTGAATAATAAAGAGAAATTAATTGATCTATACCATTGCTCTGTGTAAGATGGCTACTGCTGGGCTTTCAAAGGGAGTTTGAACACAGCGAGGCTCTGCGTCTGTTTGAGATCCTGAGCTGTGACCACCTAGAGCTGGTTTCTCAGCAAGTGGAACGCGTACGGTACCAGGAAAGACTGGCACAAAAGAGGGCCTCAGGTGAATACACTCTTCATATATGTTAGTCTGCAAACATTTGACAATTGTTATTGAGTAAGTTTGTTAATGGCCAACATTCTGTTGCCATGCCTGTAGTGTTAAACTGAGTGTGGGGCATGAAGAATTATTACATTTTTATATAATGCATTTCAAGATACCCAGAGTGCTTTACAGTTCATTATTAATTCAACACTCAGTGGTGGTAAGCTACTACTGTAGTCACAGCTGTCCTGGGGCAGACTGATGGCTGCCAATCTATACCATTGGCCCCTCTGACCACCACCAACACACCACTTTCATATTCTGCAGTGTGGGTGAAGTATCTTGCTTAAGGACATATTGACAGTTTTTTTGACTAGCACCCCACTGTTGCACCTGGAATTCCTAGTCTCCCATCCAAGTACTACCCAGGCCCAGCCTTGCTTAGCTTTTGAGGTCTGATGAGATCAGTCTTTGACAAGCCGATATGGCTTTGCTTACTTTGTGTTATGGTTCGATGAAAAAAAAACATCACTTATTTTAACACATATCTTTAATCATGATGCTGATCCAATTATAATTGTACTTATAATTTTTGTCATGGGGACCTAATGTTTTCTCTCCATAAGGGAGGTAGGACCCCAGATTTTGTGATAAATACCAGTCAACGTGCATGTTGGGTTTAAATGTACATTATGTTTTGTCCTTATGTTTAGACAGTGGTTCTCAAACACATCTGCAAAGCATCAACCCAGACTTCACGTTTGAGCTGTTCATCTGTGCGGCCATCCTCTTGGAAAATAGGGGCTTTCTGTTAAGGTGTCGAAATGATGTCCAGCTAATACAGTTTGCAAACAGGTAAGGCTCTATCCAGGTATTTTAACCTGTATCTGTGTGAACTTCATAAATAATATCACAGCCCAAATCTGTAGGACTGGGACCAATTTTTAAAGTATAACCATATTATTTCAGAGGTGAATATATTAGTGAAGGGCAGAGCACATTGTGTAACTAGTGCTTTTTCTGTGCAGTCTTCAAGGAACTCTGGACCTAAATAGGACTCTGAAGAAAGCAGAGCAGCTGTTCTTCGACTACTGCAAGCGCCGCTCTTGGGATTACCTGAGCAGACACTGCCAACAACCCAGTGACAGCGGAGACCTTTTCTATCTGTTACGCAACTTCTTTGTACTGAAATGATTCTATGCAAATATCAGGGACACACATGCTGCTGTTAAAATATATAATGATATGTATTTTTTAATTTGTTTTTTGTATTTATTTTTAAAAGTGGATAATATATGAAATATCACTCCACTGGTCTGAGGAAATCATTGTCACATGCAAGTTTTGGCAGTAGTTTGTTTGACAAACAAAACGCAATACTGTGTGTAATGATGCAATAAACTTCACTTCTGTTTAATTTCACATGTTGTGGTTGTCACTTTAGTATCAGTTTTTGGGTTTGGTTTTCTTAAAATAAATTTTTAAAATCCATCAGTAATTACAGCCTGCCACAGTTTGCTGTTTGTTTGTTACCAGATTAATCTGATTCAGTCTTCAACAGGCAGCTCATGGACCTTTTGCCCAGTCATCTGACACCAGTGCCTCCATGTGTGCCTATATACTCCCTGAAGCACAGGCACTCGGTCTCTTAGTCGATCTACAAGGGGAGAGAGCAGAGCTTGTGAGGAGGGCAGCCACTGGCCTTTGTGCTTTGAACTCAGTAAACACTTGAACATCTGACAACTCAAGGTAACCCCGTGCACAGGCAGCCTGGCTTCAAATTCTGTCTTGTTTGTTGCTTCTAACTAAGAGGGTTATTATAATAGGTGAATTTGCATGGTAACCACAAGGACAATGTGGTAAAAGTCAAAAAAGTTTAAGTCATGGATTACTGGGCTATCTCAAATATTTAACCAAAGGAACCCTGCCATAAGGTTTTGCATGTGGCAGATACTTGGAAAAAGCAAGTGTAACCATGTAAGAGCTTTCCCGTGTGTTTCACAACACTATAACGAATGATAATTCAATAAGCTGTTCCTGCTTATGCTGTTTGGTATACGTAATGGGAAAACTCAAACTGTGTGAATGCCATAGACCGTATATATGAACTTTTTTATATATTCTATGGTGAATGGAGACAAGAGAATCAATGTGTTGACCCAGCTTTAGCGTATACTCCTAAAATTAAAATGGTATAAGGCTTTCTATGAGTAGTCTAATCCAACACAAAGCTCTACTGTTCATAGTTGAATAATAGTAAGCCGAATGTACGTCATCATGTTGTGTCGAAAAACCATTGATACACACCCTTTGCCACTTAGTCCACCTTCCATTCATTGCTACCCGGCCACAGCAGATCTAATAATAGTAAGTGTAAGCTATTTGGAGGCAGCTGTTAGAAGACAGCCTGTGATCTGAGTTTCAGTACATCACATTACACTAGGCTGACGCTGAGATGCCACGCTCAGGGGAATCAGACCAGAGCTGTTGAAATAAGATCAGAAGGACGCTATGACAAACTGCAGTCATGTTATTTAGATTTAAGCCATTTGGCATCCGTACTGAAATAGGGCTGGAACACTTAAACACATAAGTATTCAAATATAGACTATCTATAAATTCACATTCATATGTCTAAATAGTGTGTTCATTATATATTGCTCTAAATATAAGCTCTAAATTTACAGTAGGTAAAATCATTATCTTGTTATTTGTCTACAAGATGTCTAAAGGACCAGCAGTCGGTATTGATCTGGGTACCACATACTCCTGTGTGGGCATCTTCCAGCATGGCAAAGTGGAGATCATCGCCAATGACCAAGGAAACAGGACCACTCCAAGCTATGTGGCCTTCACGGACACAGAGAGGCTGATCGGAGATGCGGCCAAGAATCAAGTCGCCATGAATCCTGCCAACACTGTGTTTGGTAAAGCTTTGCAACAAAACAGTCACTTTCCTCTTGTGTGAAATGTTAACAATATATTGATTCTGTCAGATGCCAAACGCCTCATTGGTCGTAAGTTTGACGATGCTGTGGTGCAGTCAGACATGAAGCACTGGCCCTTTAAAGTTATAAATGACTCATCTAAACCCAAAGTGGAGGTTGAATACAAAGGTGAGATCAAGACATTCTTTGCTGAAGAGATTTCCTCAATGGTGCTCACTAAAATGAAAGAAATCTCTGAAGCATATCTTGGAAAGGTAATTCACATGTTACGTAAACATAATAACATCCAAAATGTGATAAAGTAAATAAAAAAATATTATTTTTTTTTTACAGCCTGTGAACAATGCAGTTGTAACTGTCCCTGCCTACTTCAATGACTCCCAGCGCCAGGCGACCAAAGATGCTGGAGCTATTGCTGGGCTTAATGTGCTGCGTATTATCAATGAACCAACGGCAGCAGCCATTGCCTATGGCTTGGACAAAAAGGTAAATACTACTATAATGGCAAAAAAGCCTAAAATTCTTGTTGTAATAATAACTGTTAAAATATATTTTAGGTTGGGAGTGAGAGGAATGTCCTCATCTTTGACCTTGGAGGTGGCACTTTTGATGTGTCCATCTTGACCATTGAAGATGGTATTTTTGAGGTCAAATCCACAGCCGGAGACACTCACTTGGGAGGAGAGGACTTTGATAACCGCATGGTAAATCATTTTATTGCTGAGTTCAAACGCAAGTTCAAGAAAGAAATCACCAACAACAAGAGGGCAGTACGTCGTCTGCGTACGGCCTGTGAGCGGGCCAAGCGCACCCTCTCCAGCAGCACCCAGGCCAGTATCGAGATCGACTCCCTGTATGAAGGAGTGGATTTCTACACCTCTATCACTAGAGCCCGCTTTGAAGAGCTTAATGCCGACCTGTTCCGTGGCACATTGGAGCCTGTGGAGAAGGCCCTGAGGGATGCCAAAATGGACAAAGCACAAATCCATGACATTGTCCTGGTTGGGGGCTCCACACGTATTCCTAAAATCCAAAAGTTGCTTCAAGACTTCTTCAATGGGAGAGATCTGAATAAGAGCATCAACCCAGATGAGGCTGTGGCCTATGGTGCAGGTAACTGTTACACATTGTACATTGTACAGCTAATGCAGCTCTGTACTTTGTGTGAAATGGTCTAACCTTAAAACTCTTCACAGCTGTGCAGGCGGCCATCTTGGCTGGAGATAAGTCTGAGAACGTACAAGACCTGCTCCTACTGGATGTTACTCCTCTGTCCCTGGGAATCGAGACAGCTGGAGGAGTCATGACTGTTCTTATCAAGAGGAACACTACAATTCCCACCAAACAAACACAAACTTTCACCACCTACTCTGACAACCAGCCTGGTGTGCTCATTCAGGTACATTCATGGTGTTTCAGCAGTCACACTATATTTAATAACAAGCCACACTAAAATTAGAGCATTACAGGTATATGAAGGTGAGAGGGCCATGACTAAAGACAACAACATCCTGGGAAAGTTTGAGCTCACTGGTATCCCACCTGCTCCAAGAGGTGTCCCCCAGATTGAGGTGACCTTTGACATAGATGCCAATGGTATTCTTAACGTGTCAGCCGTGGACAAAAGCACAGGGAAAGAAAACAAGATTACCATCACTAACGATAAAGGTATACCAGTTATTATAGGTGACATAAAATGATATGTACAAAATAAACCCATTCTAAATAAAATACAAACTTGGATAAATTTATAGGCCGTCTAAGCAAGGAGGATATTGAGCGCATGGTGCAGGAAGCAGAGCAGTTTAAGGCCGAAGACGATGCACAAAGAGAGAAAGTCACAGCCAAGAACTCCCTGGAGTCTCTGGCTTTCAACATGAAAAGCACCGTGGAGGATGAAAAGCTGCAGGACAAGATCAGCCCAGAGGATAAGAAGACCATTGTGGACAAGTGCAATGAGGTCATCGCATGGCTGGATAAGAACCAGGTACAAAACTATAAAACGCCTTTTTTGTATTTTGCATTGTCCTCAGATTCTACAGTATGACAATATTTCACTCTTTGATGGTGGAGTTAGTTACATTATTGTATTTAAGTTAAAATCATGAACTTGATTAAATACACTTTAAATTAGTGACTAGTTTCATTATCCAAGCCTCATTTGCCTCATCACAGTTAAACTTTAACAGTGGTTCTCAACTTTTCATATCAAGTATCATCTCAGAAAATATTTGGCTCTCCCAGTAACACCAGATGAATCATAGATTAAGTAGTTCTAAATAGTGATCAACCCAAAAGATAAATTTCTCCCTAAGTAAAACAAATACTCAAATTTCAGGAGGACCACAATGAGATGCAGCCTGTGTACCTGTTCTAAAATGTTGCAATATCATTTGCAGTCCAGCAGTAAAAACTGTTCAGCTATTTAATGTCTATATAATTGTTTGTGTGTTGTGTACAGACGGCTGAAAAAGAAGAGTACGAGCACCAGCAAAAGGAACTGGAGAAGGTGTGCAACCCAATCATCACTAATCTGTACCAGGGAGCAGGGATGCCTGGGGGAATGCCCGGAGGAATGCCTGGAGGAATGCCTGGAGGAATGCCTGGTGGTTTCCCTGGTGGAGCTGGAGGGACCGGCTCTTCCTCTGGCCCCACTATTGAAGAGGTTGACTAAACTACAGTTTAAGATTAATGTGCAACTTGTACCATCTAATGTTTGATAAGCACACCTTTCCTCTCCTTCAATAATAAAATAAAGCACCTAGTAATAAAGCTTACTGCTGGGAATGCAAATGTGTCATCTTTTATTTTTTAGATTTGCTGATCATATTAAGTAAAAAATAGTATATTATGTTCAGATGTCAAAAAAACAAAAAACAACAAAAAATGTAATAAAATAATAAGAAGACCACAAAGAGAAGTAAGACTCATACTAATCATAGACTGACTATAAATTAAATACATGTATTTGTTGTTTTCTGTCTTTTTCTGATGTTATATAACATAGAACATACACCGACTGGTTGTCATGTCAGCTGCTTATCAAGATGTTTTTCTCATTCTTATCAAATGCTTTTTTTTTGTTATCTACCATATAAAAACCCATGGCCCTGTGTGAACAGTTAAGCAGGTGAACTAGCTCCGACACCCAGCCATGTTTTTGCTTGTCAGTTGTTTGGCCCTTGTAGCCTCCACTCTGGGTAAGTGTTATTAATTAATTAATCACTGCATTTATATAGCGCCTTTCAAGATACCCAAAGCACTTTACAATTCATCATTCATTCACTCAACACTCAGTGGTGGTAAGCTACTATTGTAGCCACATCTGCCCTGGGACAGACTGACGGAAGCGAGGCCACCATCACTCACACACGCACGCGCGCACACACACACACACACACACACACACACACACACACACACACACACACACACACACACGCACACACACACGCACACACGCACACACACACACCACTTTCATACTTATGAAAGTTACTTATATTAAGCTGATTCTGTATAAATAACCAGGTTTATCTTGAGTACAGTGTAATAACAGATAAAAATGTGTACTGGCTCATACCTCCAGCCCCAGAGTGGGAAATCACCCTATTCTTAAATATTACAACAAACCAATTTAAATCAAACAAATGTTAAGTTTGACATTTTTCCTCATGCTAACTGATTGGTTCTTAGGGTGTGGAGTCCCCGCCATTAAGCCCCAAGTGAGCGGATACAACAAAATTGTGAACGGAGAGAATGCTGTGTCTGGATCCTGGCCCTGGCAGGTTTCTCTTCAGGTAACAAACACCAGCAAAAATGTTTACTTAACCTTCAGTTCTTAGTCTAGAACAAGCTTTAGAAGATTTTAACTTTTTCTTCATAAGGATGGGTCAGGCTTTCACTTCTGTGGAGGTTCCCTGATCAACCAGTACTGGGTTGTGACCGCTGCTCACTGCCGTGTGTCGTAAGTTAACTCACATGTACACATGATATGACCAAACTCCTCTATTCTCCTAATAACCCTGTTCACTTTTTTTCAGCCCCAATTACCATCGTGTGATCCTGGGAGAGTATGACCGTAACTACAACGGCGAGCCCATTCAGATCAAAACCATCTCCAGGGTTAGTTATTCACAAATGTATTTACAGTGCCCTTTATCAATATTTTAAACTGTGAAATGTAATGGAGGGCATTGTATATTAAGGATTTAAAGTGCAAAGCTGAACATGATATTCTTTTGAAAATATTATTAATAAAAACTACTCTCCAGGCCATCTCCCACCCCTACTACAACAGCAACACCTTCACCAATGACATCACCCTCCTGAAGCTGTCCTCACCTGCCCAGATGACCAGTCGTATTTCCCCTGTGTGTTTGGCCTCCTCCAGCACCAGCATCCCATCCGGAACCATTTGTGTGACTACTGGATGGGGCCGCACTGGAACCACCTGTAAGTAGCAGTGAAACAGTAACAGAATTTATCAATTACATTAATTATATCTAGCACTATGTGAGAAGAGACATATGCAAATTAAATAAACCAGTTACAGTTTAAGAAAAGTGGAGGAGGTAAAGATGTGATTTTTTTTTAAATTGCTGACATTAAAGTTAAGAGTTCAGTGGTTATCTACAAAGCCCAATAGACCAATACATATAAAAAATACCCAGATAAGTATTTACTCAGAAATATACCAAATTTATTTGAATTCATTCATGTTTTTTTATATAATAACCATGTGATTGTTGCCTGTTTGTAGCAAGCCCCCGTTACCTCCAGCAGACCTCTTTGCCTCTGCTGAGCCCTGCTCAGTGCAAGCAGTACTGGGGACAGAACAGAATCAATGACGCCATGATCTGTGCTGGTGCATCCGGAGTGTCTTCCTGTCAGGTAAAAGAATAACACCACAAATATTGGTCCCTTTGACAAGAACATGTTTACAGGATGCAAATTGCATGAATCACTGCTGCTGGAGATATATATAAGAACCTACCATAGATTTCATCAAGGGTGCCAAGCCAATATCAGGGGCTGGTGCTGTATATTTTGTAGTGGTTAATCTCCGCTGTTTCATTTCAGGGTGACTCTGGCGGCCCTCTGGTCTGTCAGAGCGGTGGGGTGTGGTCTCAGGTTGGTATTGTGTCCTGGGGAACCTCAAACTGTAACGTCTATGCTCCTGCTGTGTATGCCCGTGTGTCCTACCTGCGCAGCTGGATCGACCAGACCCTCGCTTATAACTAAAGCACCAAACATACAAGCAAGTTTAAACTGTCACTCACACTGAATGTGGAAACCTCTGTCTGGTGTCAGTGCTGGAATATTACACTATTAAACTTTGAAATAATGTTAAATAATGTGTGTTGTTTACATTTAATTTTAAAGTACAGAAATGTTTGTGTATATGTTACATATTATTATTAATATTAATAGTTATTATTATCAAAATTAATTTAATAGAATCTGGTTCATAGCTCCGGAAACACTGCACTGTGATAATTTATTTAAAAATATTTAAAAAGTATTGTCTGTCAGCAGAACAAATTAGAATGTTTTCATTCTCAGACTGGCAAATTGATACAATACATTCATACGTGCATACATACAACACTCAAAACATGTGAATTCATTATAATAAGGTCATGACTCCTTCCAGTTATTGATTAAAAGGATGTCCTTATTCAGTGTACATTTACATTGTGTACTTCATGTTCTTTTGGCCACTATGAGCACATCACACGTGAAACGTGTAATATTGAGAAGAAAGCAGTGAACTAAAGGGAAAAAATACAACTATACCTTTTATTTTTAATTAATTTTTAAAAAAGGGAACTGCATAAAAAATTGAACAAGAAAACAAATGTCTTAACTTAAGTTCAAGGATTTTCAATCACTGTCAGATATATATATATATGATGGGTCCAACTATACAGTAAAATGCATTTGTAAAACTGTGGACTGAATCTTAGAAAGGTTTAGTTTGCACAAACACTAGGGAGTAAAATCTGCACCAACAACATCTCTGCTCAATGGTCGTACAGCTCCTTCATCTCCTTTAGGATCTTTATGCTCTCACTGTATCGCAGCTGATTCCTGTTGGAGCATTCCTTCCACCTAGGGGAGACGTAAGGCACATAATTCAGACTTTGCATTTCACAACCAAAACAGTAGCAGTAACTATTTTTAGTAGGTTTGTTTGTGTTGGTGTAACTATATGTGAAAATTCATACTTTTGTCTAATCTTTTTCCAGCGCACCATATGGTCAGATATACGGGGTCCAGATGAAGGAATTTTATCGGTAGGCTGTGAACGGAGTAAACACCAATGTTACTGCTAAGCAAAAAATACATTTGCTAGCAGAAAGGTATTTGGTAGTGAACCTTTTTGACTGCGGGTTTGTCAGTTGGTGGGATCCTGAGATTGACTGGTTCACCAGATGGGCTGACAGGGCAGGGAGTTGGTGGAGGCAATCTGTGAACATCCTGCTCTTTACCATTAACATTGTCAGTAAGCTGCAAAGAATTAGCACAAGTTTAAATTTGAAATTAGGGAAAAAAGTAAAACACCCACCTTGTCAATTTTCTTACCTCTTCATCTGTAACACTGTGTGGGGAAAGAGGAGTGGGATCAGCCCGTTCTCGAAACGATGGGTTATTTCGCATCCAAGAACGACAAATGGGATACAAAGGTGTGTTGCTGTTAAACTGAGCCAAATCAACGCTGCGGTCAAACAACTTGATAATATAAGCATCTGAAAAATAAAAAAATAAAACATAAAGATGACATTAAAATGCAGTGTAATGTTCTGGCTATGTATCCATGAAGTCTTTCAATCTAAAAATAAGTTTGATATTGTCATTACTCTACTACTACTTTACTTTGTTTGTTTTGATTGGTGTCTGGCATGCTTTCATCCATTTCTTTCCGTTTCTTTCTTCTATGTTGTGGAAACCTTGAAGGTGGTCTAAAATGTTTAACAATGTGTTAAACATTATATTAACAAAAATAATCCCACGTATTACTTATTTTAGTCACAAATCTTACCTTTTGCCAGACAATGGAGATGAATCCCTAACATTACACATAAACAACATTGAATTAATTATAAAGAAGTTAAAAGTTGGAATGAATTATTACATACTTGTTTGAGGTCTCTGCAGTTTTTCCAGCTTCACTTTCATTTTGTTCCCTAAAAATAATGAATTAATAAAGTAAGGGGATGAAAAACCTAAAAAATTTTATGAACTATAATACATAAAAGCTTTTTTTGTAAGCTTTTAACCATGCTAGAATATTGTTATCTCATCATCAGCAAGTTGTTTTGTTTCATTCACACATGATAGAGTAATCCTTTATTATTAGTTTGTCTACAACTCCAAAGCTCAAAATGCTCTGTTCCACCTTGTGATGTTATGAAGTGGCAGTTTTCATGTTAACAGCTAAGCTTACTACTTTTTCATCCAAGATTCTAGTGAATGTATATGAAGTTAAAAAACACAGAGTGTTTTCTGTTTGAGAGAATAACCCTATATATCCTGGATTTCTGTGTTGAAGATGTGTGAATGAAACAAAACACAATTCCAGGTATGTTTTGATGAGGTTTGAAACAATATTATAACATAGATCAGAAAACAGTGTAATATGGGCCATTCAAGAAGGCTCAGTTCACCCAAATAGATAAGTGATTAACTTAAGCACTTAAAAACAGCATAGAATACAGATGATACTGGACTGTTTACTAGAATAGATTTTCAAAATTAAAAAAAACTGGGACATCCCTGGTTTAGGTTGGTAAAAATAAAATTGTGAAACAAGTGCGTAATTAATGAAAATTGTTACGAATTTGACACTAATGTATTAGTGGGCCTAGTACCCGGTCTAGTACCCAGTCTAGTCCCAGTCTAGTAACTTAGTGCCCGGTTTAGTCTCGGTCTAGTACCAATAGAGTCACATTTTCTTTGTTTTTTGGTCCTTTTTAAGCAGATTTCTGTATTTTACCTAAACTAATGACAATTTATGCCTCTCTTTACTGTTGGCAGGTAACAGATTGGTGAAAAATAGGAACACCCTGGACATTTTTTGTATAAAACGGGGACAAATCACTGGTTTTTGATAAATCTGCAAGGACAGGGCTCAAAATTGGGACTGTCCCGGGCAAATAGGGTCGTCTGGTCACACTATATATGCTGTATTTGTGTGTTTAACATGTGTGAATGAAACAAATTAACTCCAGGTATGTTTTGATGAGGAAACAAAACGATAACATAGATCAGTATACTGTAATATGGGCCATTTAAGAAGGCACAGACCGCCTAAGGTGACATGTGATTAACGTAAGCACTTAAAAAAACAACATAGAAAACAGATGATTCTGAATTGTTTACATCGCATTATTTTTGACCTACATTTCCGTTTCCGACTTTTCTACCAATCCTTGCAACACAGCATCCAGTTTAAAGCGTGCTCCAGACGCCTCCATGTCTGTAAAAGTTATAGAAACAATAAACTTGATGGATTATTGCAGAGTGGCAAGAGGGGGTCATTTACCTGGTCTTTCGGTCTTTATCTTGATGTGGTGCATGGTAAGGAAAATCAGTGCCACTTATGAAGAAAAATTAATTCCGAAAAAGTTGTACGTTTCCAGTTTAATCAAATTTCTAGAGCGAGAAACACAACCCCCCGACCATTGTTTGTTATCGTCACTTAGCAATAGGTTAGCTGCTGCGGGGTTATGTTAGTTACCAACGTTTATTTAATCTTCACCTTTCATCTCTATCGCTGCCTAGCACTTCAGCTGTCAAAACATCGCTAGAAAACACCTACTACAACTTGTATTTAATTGTATAATATAACAATTAACGTCGCTTACAATAAATCGTAGATCTCGCTAGCTAAATGTATCTTTGCTAAGTTAGCTTGTTTCCAGTTTCCTCTTCCGCGCGCTGACCCTTCCCCGTGACATGATTGGTTGCCACGCACAGTAGACTTCTCGCTCATTGGCTCTTTTACCTGTCAATCAATCAAACGCGAGCCCTTATTGGTCAAGGTACCAGTAGTAAAAAAATAAGCTATGGAAACTACTGTCTGTTGTCTTTCACGGAATCAAAGCTTTATTGGACATCGATTATACCTTCTAATAATTGTACGTCTGTATCTTGATGGCTCCTTGAAATACATGCGCTTGATGCTTTGGTCCTGCATCCAGTAACGCGTTGTCAGTTGCCATATGTTGCTGCAAAAGTTGTAATATTTTGAACCGAGTTTTTCATATATCCATTATCTTGGGCAAATTCTTCCTACTTGTGTAGTAATTATGAAGGCAAGGTAAGAGTACACTCTTTTTCTATTCAAGGGTAATAGCATGATGGTTGATTTGCTTTATATTTGTTTTCAGTTATTCCAATAAGAAACCCTCCAGAACAGAGCCCTTGATGAGGAAAAGCAACCGGTCGTCACAGATCTCATCCTTGCAAAAGACAAACAAAAAGGTTAGTTTTGAACTGTTGTCTTTTCAGAACTCATTCAGCACTTAGTAGCAATAATGTGGACTAACACTAATCCAACCAATAAAGTATTACAAAAATGTGATAACATAGGTCTCATGTTCTTATGATGCAGTCATAGTGTGACCAGACGTCCCTATTTACCCAGGACAGTACCAGTTTTGAGCCCTGTGTGTCCTGTCCTAGCAGATCTATCCAAAACCAGTGATTTCTCCCAGTTTTATACAAGAAATGTCCCAGGTCCAGGTATCCCTATTTTTGACCAATTTGATACCTGCCAACAGTAAAGAGAGGCATAAATTGTCATTTGTTTAGGTAAAATACAGAAAAGCTGCTTAAAATGACCAAAACACGAAGAAGATGTGACCATTCTGACTCAGATTAGCGCTGAGGGCATAACAGTTTTCCTTAATTACACACTTGCTTCACAATTTTATTATTACCAACCAACCCAAACCAGGGACATTCCAGTTTTTATTTTATTTTTTTTTTAAAATCTGGTCACCATATGCAGTCAGTGTATGTTAAGTCAACTTTCTGTGGCTATCAGGATATCTAACACAATATGAAACCACCACCTCACTGATGTTGTGTATCTGTGTGCATATTATTTTTGCTCTTTATTGAAGTATTAGGTTTGGCATCCAAAAAGTCACCAATTTTAAAACAACAAACTTATACAGAATCTCTGCAGCAGGATGGAAAGCAAGATTACAACACTGACTCAGATCTGGAGAAACATCCAATCTTCAAAGAGATTTGGCCATCCTCTGGACCTTCCTCTCCGAGTGATACACCCACATCTGACAAGAATGTGCCAACATCAATATACAAGTTTTTTGAAGTTGACACTGAGCATAGTTCAGTGCTGGCAAAGTGTGATTTTTTATTTTTTTATTTTTATTGCAATCACTAGTAAATCAATATATCCAAGTAATTTTGTTCACTCATATTCATCAGGTATGTGGATCGTTTTCGTCATGGTCAACCGCAAAGTCGAGAGGAACGGCAACAAAAGTCTAAAGAAGAATTGCTGCCATTCTGGTGGGCATCATCGCCATCATTACCTCCCAATTTAACTCCAGAGAAACCAGGTAAATGTGTACTGCATATGATCATATTTTACTAATACTGGACCAGCTTCAAAATGTTTTAATGTTTTTTTTGTTTTTTTTTGTTTTTTTAACAGATCCTACGTTGTTTCATCACAACAGAGCCATTTCCCCAAGCAGAGGGTCCTTAAGTGTAAATATATTTAATTATAACGTTTTACTCACTATCTGCAACTAGTGCATGTTATCATTCAAGTTGTTAGTGCTATTTTAATGTCAGTTGTCTCTGGTATATAGGTTTTGTCAGACACCTCCCAATGTGAACATTATGATTCAGAGATTTTGCAGCTACAAGAGAGAGCCAGCAGACTGTTGCAGAAAGGGTAAAATAACAAGAAAACCATATTCATTAATTAGAAAAATGTAATTCAGTAAGTAAATAGAAATTAATTTGTTTCCAGTGAAGTTAGTCTTGAGGAAGATTCCCTCCCCGTGAGCTCAGATGGTGAGGATCCTCTGACTTCTCATCTCCAGTAAGTGCAGACGAGCCAGTGAGAAAGCCCATGATTTCAAGTTTGCCTAAGTACAATATTGGTAGGTTGTGCTTTACTCTCCATTCTTTTTGTCTGATGTTAAGATACCTTTTAAATACATTACATGGATAATATTTGCAGCTAAGGACCCATCCTCAGTTATGCCAACTCCTTTACGCCCGGAGGAAGACATATTATTCCAATGGCGTTTAAGGAGAAAGATGGAGAAGGCAAGGGAGTGGGCACAGTCACAACAGCACTTTGAGCTACAAAGCTGGCAAGCATACAGTAAAAGCAAGTCCCTGCACTCAGATCAAGGCATTACGGTACGTATTATGTGTGGTTTCAAGTCTTATTAGCTTTACTTTTTGATTGTCTATTAAAAATGCAATAATTGTATTCTTAATTATTAGGGAATACAAGAAAAAGCTCCTTCAGGTTTGCCACAAGAAACTACTCCCCAGTCAATTAGTGGACCTCATTTAATCACTTTAGATCAACAAACCAGAATGGCTACTACTACTGCTACTGCTATGCCTACTACTATGGTGCCCTCTGGCTCTGTAGTTTCTTCACCACAGGCTCTTGCCCATGTTCCCTCCCACATGCATTTGATGTGTGATATTTTACCGTGTCCCAATCAGACACCTAAACCTCATGAAGAAGAGATGGTTCTACACAAACTTGATTCACAAATTATCGTTGTACCTCAAAAAACACAAAATTTACCTCTGGAACTACCCATAACTGGACATGTTGAAAAAGATGGACATTTATCTTACACTAAGAGCACAGTTGCACCAAAGAAACATCTAGAGAAGAGTGAGAAGAAAACATCAATTCTTTCCAAAGAGCAAAAGAAATCTGCAAGGTACAGTACCACAACTTGACATCTACAGCTACTACTAGATTAAATGTGAAACTGAAGTCTTCAAGTTCATTTGTTTACAAAACAGGATTCACTCACGACAGAAAGTCCCCACAAACATAACGAGTACTCCTCAACATCATCAGAAATGCACCGATTCTAAGAAAAAGAGCAGAGGGGATAGGACACCATCTTCTCCAATCCAGAGTGCTTTGGGACAGGTGCATACATGTTGAGTGTGTTTTGGATATGTTTAGTATTTTGCAGCATCCTAATTTGAACTGATACTTGTATTAACAGATACTAACGCGCAGCATATCAAATAATGTCTTAATTTTGTTCAACAGGTGGTTTCTGAAGTATTATTTCCTTCTGTGGATTCAACCATTGTACAAGAAATTCCCCCACTATCTCCACACTGCCTTGTCTCAGAACAACTGAATGATGACTATAAATCTGTAGAAATTATTTCACAGTTTCTTAAAGAGGCTGAAGGTGAGGATTTAGTAGAAGATAGAGAAAACTGTTAGTGTTTTATGTACTATATATTTTATTATTCTTTTTTATTGTGATTGTTTTAGATTCAGATGAAAAGGAGTTTGAAGATGATCCTTTACTTCAAGTCCTTCGAAAACAGAGAAAGTGGGTTAAAGAACAGATAAAGTATGTTTTTTTTTTCTTCTTTATTAAATCAAAAATCTAAAACAAGTCAAAATTAGTAGTAACTGTAACTATCTTTCCCACAGTGAAGTGGACACACTGTTAAAGGAATTCTAAGGACAACACAACATGTGAATGCATAATGTTTCTATTTTTTATTAAATCACAGTCAAATAAAAGTTACATTTTAATATTTCTTCATCAAAAGCATGAATACAAAATAGAACAGTGTATACTTACAAGGTTCGCTCAAAGGAAGATATCAACTCAATTTACAATCACATACAGTACCCTTCTCTCATACTGGCATAGTTGGTAAATCTAAGCAAAGACAAACACCCATCACTCAGTTCTGCTCATTTTGAGACCTTTTGAATTCAAGTAAGAATACAACATCAGGAAATGTTAACTAGTTTTATTTCTATATCACATTTAAATCAATATTAATAAAAAAAAAAAACAACAAGAAAAACTCGTGTGTTATAAATTATCCAATGAAGTTATGCTGATTGGAGGGTTTCGGTAGCCAAGAATTTAAATGAAATCTTGCTGTCAAGTCAAAGTTGCCATAGTTTTATCACCTATGCCGATATTACTGGAAGACACAATATTTAATTCTTGTTGGGTGTAGATTAGCTCAAAGCGTGAACATTGTCTGGTGGTAGAATGGGCGCAGATACGATGAGAATACCACTGGGAGACACAGCAGATTCCAAAGCCATTATATCCACCTCTTTTGGAACCCGATATCGACGATTAAACTGCCGTGTTGTGAGTCCACTGCCACTCTTAATATCAACAGGAAAACTCTATTACTTAAGTGTCAAGCTGATGAGCAATATATTTTAAATATTACAAAACACCAACCTTTTTCTCCTCATGCCTTCCTTGCACTTCCACAAAGTCTCCAATAACTTTAACCATCAGGTCCTCTGGTTTAAAATGCTTAACATCAACTTGAATTGTAAAGCCATTGTCATCACAGTTCACCTGAGAGGAAGAAAGAAAGGCTCGTCTAAATCTAATGTGTGAATGTAGGCATTCTGCATGCAACATAATCTTTGGGACAGGTGCATACATGTTGAGTGTGTTTTGGATATGTTTAGTATTTTTCACTATAACTTACCTCAGCAGAACTGGCGTTTTCAGTCTCAGCCATAAGCAATTTTGGGGACCAGTTGTATTGTCCGTAGGTTCCATTCAGTCGAGGAATTAGGGGGGGTAAAACTTTCTCCCATTGGATACCATCAGCAGGGGTCGTTTGGGGCAAAATAAAATCCATGTATTTTGAATTATAAAATCAAACTCGGGGTTGAGTAGATCTTGAACTCTGATCACAAGGGCTGATGAAGCTATCTAAACCCTCTTCGGCCTATGTGTTTTTGCCTCAACTCCTTCCAGAAATAAATGTCTGAGCTCCTGCCTGCGGTTTGAGTTTTATACTCCAGTTGCATAATAAGCCAGGCATTCAGAGCGGGGCACCTTGCCTTTGTTTTGTCCCAGGATTTAGGGGTACCACCCCTGAGATTTCGCTCAGAGTAAATCTGGATAAGAGTGAATTGTTTGAGGATGATTCAGCTGTTGTAGACTTTAGGTCAATTAACATGTTCAGTGCTCATTACTGAGACTGAAGAATGTGCCTCAGTTAATTTGGACATACACTTTGAATATAGAAAAGCCTGTCAGAAGGAATGCATCTAAAAATAGAATGGCTAAGGTCTAAATATTGGGATCTGTCAAGACAGACAGTGACAGCAGGCTTTACAAAACACATGCCACAACACGTGGGTCTACTAATAGGTGTTCACTTTCACTGGATAAACAAAACAAGACCACCAGAATAAAAAAGTGTTGTATTTTAAACTCAAACAGTGTGTAAATGCAGTCATTGGGCATTTTGTTATTAAAGAAGTTGGAATGTACTAATAAACATTTTTCATAAAATGTTTTTTTATAATGGGAAATTGTACAATGTGTCAGATCGAGTTCCACATAGAATGCATCAAATCAGAATCATATACATTTAACATAAAACGCATGTAAATGAGAAAGACATAAAATACAAAAATCAACACATTCAATTGGTGTCATTTGTATAGAAACTACCCAATACAGAAAAATGTACACTAGGAAGTTACTTGAATTTTAATGGTGTGAATGATTCTGGACACAAAAACAAATTAGATGTGTGTTGGGTAAAATGTAAGAGTTCTGTGTTAACAACAAATTCATATTTTAAAAATTCACGGGGTGCCCAGGGGTATTGTAAATGACAAATAATCACCCACTTCGCCCCATTCTGCCCTGAAGTGCTGGAACACTGTAATCCAGGTACAAAGGACAACAGCCCACAGGAGCACACCCAGTGCTGACCTCTTCACATCTAGACAGAAACACAAGAAAATTTATTAATTTGTATTAAACCATGCCACAAAAAGATTGAATATTCATTAACATCTAATCTAACATCCTGATGTATTTTACAAACATTCACACTTGACAGTAAACATTCTTGCTGTCATTTTTTGGCCAGGTACCCTGCTTGGAAAGCTTAGTGGCCATTTTTGAGAAGGGGAAAACTGCAACAGAAAGTTATAGGCAACACTTGTTGGATGAGGCAAACCCATCCATAGTAAAGTTGTTTGCTGTAACTAGATGAACCCGTGGACCATTTACAGCTGGCTGGTCAGACAAGCAAATCAGGTAATTAGTAAATGTCCATATATTAAATAGGTGTTGTATTACTCACATGTTTTTATTTGCACTTGTTCTGTGAAAGATGGTTTTAGAAAGGCTTCCTTGAAAAACCAAATTACATTAACAAGCCATAAAAATGGCAGAAGGGCAAATCCACCTGAGAAATTCAAAGAGAAACACACATTGGTTATGGTTAAGTGTTATTCTGTTGTTTAAAGTGTTTAAAGTGCCTCAGAAGATCGCAAATGAGAGCCTGGGGCCAAACCAAAAGTGCTTACCTCTATCTAAACATTGATATTATTATTATTATTAATTGATTTTATTTTTTTTAATATTATTGAACCTGAACCTTGGTGAACCATTTTCTTCTAAGGGCAGAGCCATAAACCAACCTCTGGTGTAAAGACTTTCTAAACCAACACTTAAATAATGTGGGTCAAGGCGTTGCCATTTTAAAGCAGCAACACTTGAGAACTATGACCCAAAATGTATGTGAGTATTATTTCATCTCCATCAAACTCAATTCATCGAAACAAAGAACACAGCTTAATTCAACAAAACATACAGCAACCGTTTTCTCCTCTCATACATTATTTAACATACATCGGAGCAACTTTTCATGAGTAACGTAACTTACCCAGATAATACTTCCTACAAAGATTCAGTTTCTCCTCGTTGGGAACACGTTCCAGATTCATTGTACTTGGACCTGTTAATAAAATAATGTGTAAAGAGCAAATTAGCACTACCTTTAAATGTGTCTGTATGAGCATTTGCTAGCTAGCTCCGTTTGTGTACGCAGCGTTAGCGTTAGTTTCCTCAAGAAACAGTAGCAGAAACTAGTTAAAAGTCTGCACGCGTATTCACCCGAAATAGTATTATTAAAAGGGTAATTCATTTACCAGGTTTTCTGGCAGACAAACGATATAAACAATGAATATTCTGCTGTCTCGCTGCTGTTTTTCCTGTAGCTACTATCGGACTCTCCTTCCTCGTCTTTTTGATGTGAAACAGTCTCGTTATCGCCACCCACTGTCCAGATGAAAATCGAAGGGTCACGTTACTTTTACTACATAACAATATTAAAGCGAGCATGAGAAATATTTCCGTAGATGTTAAATGTTATATTATTTCATTGATTGTTCAAAAAATAGTTTACGTTTCTTTGCATTTTATTTTTTGTTTAAAATTATGTGGACAGATCGTAATTTGAGTCACTGTAACGTGTTGATTTTGACAGCATAAAATCACAAAAATGAAAGTTTCACAAATCAAAGAATGCCGACACAACCCAAAAACTCCCTTTCCCTTGCATCTTTGCGGCGCACCCTCCCACCCGCGCCTCCCCTCTTGTCTGTACGCGCTGCTAGCCCCGTAGCCCCGTAGCCCTCGGTGTGTGTGTTGTTGTTGAAGCGATGATGGCGGCAGCGGGATGCGGATCAGCAACCGCGGCTGCCGTAGGAGGCCAGGGCGGCACTGTTCCTGCCAGAGGACGTTTTCCCGGTCGGCCGTGGTCGTCTCGCACTCGTTTGCGCTCAGAGAAGCGATGGCAACTTGGGCGATCAGGCTTAGAGGCTGATGATGTGACAAATGGAGGCCAAAGGCCCCCAAACCTGGTCCTGTCGTTAAACGAAGACCAGTCCCACTTGCGCTTACTGGGGCTAGAAGCGAGCCATAAGAGCCTTGGCCAGGCTGGATACAGCTCTAGTGGGAGCGAAGAGGTGAGGTCCCAAACCCACCCAGGAGTTAGTATCTTTATTTTATTTTTCATATTTGGATGAATGTTGAAATGTATCTGAATGAATGTTGTGAATTGAAACCTGCTGGTTAGTGTCATGGAGAAATGTCAACATCCTAGTGCCATGCTAGCTGTTGGCTAATGTTAGCCATGTACAACATTTCGTGACATTTAATGAACAACCATAACAAGACTTGTCAATTTGAGTAATTAAACGAGATTGAATACTCTATATGAATACCCTCACTTTGTTTGTCGCTTCTGAATATTACTCAAAGAACAATTGACATAAATATGACATACTTTTTAAATCAGTACACAGCATTTACTTCATCCCTGTTTCACTGTATGGGACGGAGTAGCAGCGAGCTAACGCTAGTAGCGAACACAAAGAAGGAGAGGGCTACCGCTACCGTAGCATAAAATGGCTAATGCTAACTTAAGACATTCACTGCTCAAATTCGGAGAACTGGAGAGATGGATTAGATTGGAAAACGCCGAACCACACATACAAATCTAAGGCTATTTAAACAAGACTTTGTTGTTTGTAAGTGTAGCTAACACTTATTGCAAGTCAGTGTTGGATATCCGTAAAATCTGTGCTAAACGTTAGCGTTGTACTAACAAACCGGGCATTTATGATATGTGTTAAATGCACATTCTTTATTAAATCCGATTGTTTGCTTGAACACCAGACTTGATAAGATGTTTATAACAACGTAGTTACACTTAACTTGAGTGGACTTGTCTGCTACTGTACACACTCATTCAGTAGAGGGCATTCAGACTCTGCTACATTTATAGTTTCTCATTTTTAACTAAATAGTCGGAAATATGTATGCTTTAATGCTATCATTGTCAAAACCCTACGTTATTTACGTCCGTCACCTGCAGGCGTGAAACAATGTATATGTATTCAAGAGTTTGTGTGATGCAGAATGAGATATAATTTCCTATTACCTTGGCATTACATAGATATAACCCACTGTGCTTTTTATTCCAGGTGGATGATTTCAAAGGCTTTGAACCTGAGAAAAGGGGTTCAAAAACATCCAGACAAAACCCTTTAAAAGGTGAGAATATTTTTTGTTATAAGAATATCACCAAGTTCTAAGTTGTAGTAATATAATACTAAATGCTGCTTTTTTGTTATATTTTTAGGTGAGGGCATCAAATCGAAAAGTCAAATGGAGGAGGTACCTGTTTCAGCCACAGTGGATACAGAGGCTTCCCCTTGTGACATTTCTGAAGATGACAAAGACTTGGTCCCAATACTAAGTCCATCTTCTCAAACAGAACCTGCTAAAGACTGTAAAAAAGGATCTAAACGAAAAAACACTAAAGACCGCCAGTCCACTAAAAATGCAGCATCAGCGCCAAGGATTACTATAAAATTAGTGGCCAAAAAGAAAACAAAAACTGTTAGAGAGCTTCACAAACACTCTATAAAGAAGTCGAAAGAAAAAGAACTTCAGAATCAACCTGAAGCAAAGGACCTACTGGATGAGCAGATTTCAAGCGCTCATGTAAAATTAAAAGTGGAACCCCTTGATGACAAAAATGACATGGTCGATAGGGCCGAAGGGAGCACACAAGTGAGGAGGCGTGGTCGATCCGCTGCCAAGCCAGTACAAACTGCAAATAACATCACCAAAGCTGTGGCTAGTGAACAACAAACACTATCCATGAATCCAATTGAAATTACGAGTGATTGTGCAGCCGCAGACCTAAAAGCAACAACAGTCAAACACCAAGACAATGTCACAGAGTCCAGTTCAAATGGTCGTCAACCTGGTACTCGAAGAAGCACTAGAGTAAAAAATCCACTTACAAAAAATGTCTCAGATAGTGCAACTCAATCAGTTAGCTTGGGCAGCACAGAGGCTGTTTCAACTGATACAAAGTTAAATGAAGAGATCAAACCAACAACGCAGAATAACAATAATCGAAGGCAAAGTAAAAGGCTAAATAAGGATTTTCAAAATCAAGATATCCAGGATCCATTAACTGCAAAATTGGGTGACATCACTTTGCAGCCTACTGACTGTCTCCAGTCTTTTCAGGATGCTGAAAATACAGTTCCAAAATTAAAGTTAGTACGTATAAAAAATCCCAAGTATGAAGCACAGTCCAGTGAAAAGAATATAACTCGAAAAAAGAAAAAAAGGAAGAAGTACATTTGGACTCTGGCATTAGTGAAAACAGTTCAGACCACGCCAATTGAAAATGCAGTCAAAGTAACAGAAAAAAATGAGGTTAGTGATGACACTGGTGTAAGCAAAAGTTTGAAACGAAGAAGTAAAAAGTCAACACTGGATAAATCAAACTCTCAAAAGAGTAAGGACAAAGAACCCAGTGAGAAAGGTTCCCCAAATCAAAATGAAGGCACTGAAATTAAACCCTCTCCAAAAGTGTCATTGGAGGAGGTTGTAATTGAAAAAGAAAAGGAAACATTAAATCAAGAGATCTCTAAGTCAGACTGTGGGAAAATTCCACCTCTACAAATTAAAAAGGTGTCATCTCCTGGTAAAAATAAAAGTTCAAAGCCATCATTTCTCATACAACAAGTTAGTCCGGGGCCTGAAAAGAAAGAAGATGTGCCTAAAGATGCAAATGAAGGCAGTGTAGATAAGCAAACACCTGTGGAAGAAAAAGTGGCACCTACCAGAAGGTTGAGAAGGAGGACATCAAGTGTGGAAGCGGCACAAACAATGCCTATTAACCAAAAGCCAGAGACACCTCCAAAAAGAAGAGCAAGGGCAAATGCACAGGAAAAAGAGAGCCCTCAAAAACCAACTGTAGATGTATCTCAGGTTTCAGCGGAGGATTCAAGCACACATGTTCTTCCCGAAAAGACTTGTCAAGATTTGACTGCAGAATCTGCTGAGTTAATGCGTGTAGACCCTTCTGAAAATGCTGACAAAAATGCCTCACAAATCTGTGATACTGCAGAACAAGTGCCAGATAAAGATTCTCCACCCAACATGGAGAAAGAAACAGAACCACTTTCTAATGAGGTCAAACCATTGCCTGTGCCTTTAAAATCTAAACCTAGACGATGTAGAAATGTTGTTACAGGTAAAAGGAGGTGTGTGCAAAGGAAGAAAAAGATTGTTACATCTGTTCAGGCAACCCCAGAGATGTTCACTGACACTGTATCGGCCATAGTAGAAAGTGTAATCTCTGAAGCTCTTCAAAAAGGCTGCCAGCCGTTATTAACAGAGGACACCCCGTTTGAAACAAAGGATTGTACTCACACTGAAGTAATACAGGAAAGTACAGCATTAGAAAAAAGTCCACAACAGACACCAATGTCTGTTAAAGAAGAAAATGAAATTCAATTAATTGATAATTCGCTGTCTGTGGTCTCAAATCAAGGTAAAAAAATGTTAAGCTCTAAAAAGAAGTCCATAAAAAAATTAAAGAAGAGGCGCAAGAGTTTGATTGGACAGCGACAGAAGCCCAAGCCCCGAAACAGAAATGGGAAATTTGCACCTGAACCCTCTGGGAGTACAGTTAATGCAGAAACTAGTAAAATTTCCAAAAAGTTAGCCATTCGTACGTCTGCCTCCATCAACAAACTCACTGGGGTGAATAAAAAGTTTAAAAAACGGCCACAAAGTCTTCACATTTCACAGTCTAAAAGATCTAAAGCAGCTAAAATCATTTCAAAGCTCATGGAAATGGAAGAAGCCAGCTTAAAGCAGGAGGAGAGTGACACATTAGTTGATGCTTCACATGGAGATGTAACTGAGGCCCAACCTGGAAAATCCAAATTTGTTAAAAATATTAAACATTTCATAATGCCTGTTGTAAGTGCCAGATCTTCACGCGTGATAAAGACCCCACAGAGATTTATGGATGATGCAGGAATGTCAGTATTGCCTCGCCGGCACTCTCCAAAGAAAGGATTACAATTGGGTTTACAGACGCCAGTGCCACCAGTGAAAAGAAGAGAGGACGATATTGTCAGAGCAATATCCCCAATCCTTCCTCTTGATGATGACTTCTTGAGTGAAGCACAATTGGATGTTGATCTGTTTTCAGCACAGGAACTAGAAGACGCCACATGCATATCTGACAGCCTTTTCTCAGAGAAGAAAAGTGGGAAAAATGAGAAGACAAGTTTCTTAAAGAATTCTAGTTTCAAATGGCACATGCCAGATGAGTTTGGTGAGAGTATCTATACACTGGACAAAGCACAAGAGAACAAGTGTGAAGACCTGCTTTTATTTTCTCCAGTGTCCCCAGAAGCACCTGCTGACCTCCCAGAAGCCCAGAAAAAGAAATGTTCTCTCAAAGCAAGCAAACACACCGATCACCTCAAGATTTATCAGAAACTTAAAAAGCTTAACACAGGGCATCCAAAGACTAAAGAATTGGATGGTGCAAGCAAACCACCTCAGGCACCTGTTGATTTGGCCGAAGGACTGGATGATGAGGTGATGAGTATCAGCTTAAGGCAGCGGCATACAGATGTGGAGAAGGAGAAACCTAAACTCAAGATAGAAGATCTCAATACTCCAGGGGTTGTGAGAAAAGTCTGTATAAAAAATCTAAATTTTAAAACGGTTACAAAAATGTCAGAAAAGGAACCAACCAAAAGTCACCAAGGTAAGCTAAATATATCTTATCAATTGATTTAGTTATCACAATATCAGTTTGAGATGAGTAATAACTTTTATTGTTAAATACACAGATGAGAGAAAGCAGACTTCACCTGTTGATGAAGGGGATCCTGCAGCCATTGAAAAGGGAGGCACACAAAAACCACGTCTCTCTGGGGCAAATAAAAGGATGTTCAATCTCCTTAAGAAAGCCAAGGTTCAGCTTATCAAAATTGACCAACAAAAACAACTCAAAACAACCACAGTAAGATAAACATGCTCAGTTTTTATTGATTGAACAATTATTTAATGCTGAACTAAATGTCACTCTGATTTTTACTTCATCCTGTAGCTTTTGTCAGCTCCGTCCGCCCCCAGACCTAGAGATGTGACAGCAAAGAGACAAAGGAGGAGGCAGAAGGTTCAATCTGTCCCTGAGGTTCCAGTCAAGACCGAGCCCCAACAAGTACAGGCATGGCATATACATACACATTATTGTTTTTTTGATAATGTCTGGTCTTTACTCACTGTAACGTCTGGTTAATTTCCAGGTGCCTGTCACCTCACCTCTGTGTCAGGAGTTCCGTCATGCTGGAGGTCCTCGTATCAAACACGTGTGTCGGGCTGCCTCTGTGGTGCTGGGCCAGCCTCGGGCTCTGGTACCTGATGACATTCCCAGACTGAGTGCTTTGCCTCTCCATGAAAGAACTGGTATTTCCCCTTCTACAGACACTAAAGGTTGATATAATTTGAATAGGAAATACATTAACCTTGATAACACCTATGAACCTTAACATTAATTATTTTTCAGATAACGGGTCTCCATCAGAATCAGACAGTCCTGGGGCATCAGATCAGAAGGTCACAAAAGTGAAGAAAGTGTCCAATCTGGTCAAACGGAAAGGGCTCGGACCATTTGGTTATCGCTCTCGGAGATGTGGAGTATGCAAAGGCTGCAACCATGAGGATGACTGTGGGGAATGTATTAACTGCCTGGACAAACCTAAGTTTGGTGGTCCCAACACCAAGCGACAATGTTGTGTGTAAGTGTATGCCCTTTAATTGTTAAGTGAATTGTAAATTGGTTTGTTTTAATTTTTAATAAGAATTTTTTCTTCTTGCAAAGGTATAAGCGATGTGATCAAATTGAAGAAAGGAAAGCACGTAGAATTAGTGGAAGAACAGTCCCCAAAGGTATTTCTACTTTTAAGTGCTTTAATATTATAGTACCATAGATCAGTGTGAAATTATCTGTACGTTTTTAGGTGCCTCCAAGCGACGGCGTGCCTCTTTAAGTGCTGGTTGTTCTAGTAATGATGAAGGGGGAGAGTGCACTGCAGACTCACCATCAGGTCAGGCTGGTGGTAACAGTCCATCTGTTCGGAAGCAGCCAAAACGTGTTGTGAAGCCCAAAGTTTACTTCGACCTGGTCGACTATGAGTCTGATGGAGACATTAAAGGTGTCTCCAACGCTGTTTCTCCCGCCAGGAGAAGAGGCGCTGGACCTCGTTTCAATGAAGGTAGGCTAACCATTTTTAGCTGACTCACATTGTTAGTACAAAGTCACCAGTAAATCTTTTAATCAATACAAGCTACCCTCTAACCCCAGCCCACCAACTTTCTTTTTTGAAGATTTTGTTTCATTAGACGGATTCTTGGGAGACATCTCAGATGATGAAGTTAGGCATCGGAAGTCTAGTACACATCGTGTTCCAAGTGGAAAACGTAAACCTGAAAAGGTCAACATTCAGTTCATACTCATCTTGGATGATAATGTCCAAATAGTATTGTTACTGATTCCCTATTTTAGGCACTTTTGGTTGTTTATGACTGTGCCATTGTTTTGGTTTAGGGATCGTTAGAGGAGACTCCTCCCAGTGTACTCGCTGCCTTGGCTCATGGGTTTGAAAAAACTGACAGAGAGTTGACAAAGCCTACTCACAAGATCAGGGTTGACTTCAAGGTACTATATCTCTTATTGTATTTCATAATTACCACATTTAGTAAATCACTGGTCCTTGGTGTTGCGGTCATTGGATAAAGCACTTCTGATAATGGCCAACACAGCAGTTTTATTTAAACACTTTTTTTAGGAGGACTGTACCTTGGAGAATGTGTGGAACACTGGTGGCCTGAGTGTCCTTACCTCTGCACCCCTCACACCCCCTTATGCGTGCTTCCTCTGTGCCAGTAAAGGACAGCATGAGGTAAGCTCATGAATCATGCCTCATTTAAACTCAGTCAGCACACTAAGTATTTAAAAGTGTTACATGCTCTTTTTCTGTTTAGATGCTGTACTGCCAAGTATGTTGTGAGCCCTTCCACCAGTTTTGCCTTGACCCCTCAGAGAGGCCCTCCAATGATAATAAGGAAAACTGGTGCTGTCGCCGATGCAAGTTCTGCCATGTGTGTGGCCGCAAAAACAAACACTCAAAGGTTTATATTTTACTTTGATCCAGCAAAAATCGATAGTATTAAAACATATATTATGTAAAATATTTTCCTTTTTTAAACTTAGCCTTTGTTGGAATGTGAGCGTTGCCAGAACTGTTATCATGCTTCCTGTTTGGGACCAAACTATCCAAAACTAAATAAAAAGAGGAAATCTTGGGTAAGTTTACTGTTCACATTGTTCAAATTCATGTTGTAATGTTGTAGTACATTTATCACCATGACACTTCTGTGCAGGTTTGCATGACGTGTATAAGATGTAAAAGTTGTGGAGTCACACCTGGAAAGAGTTGGGACACAGAGTGGAACCATGATAAAGGCCTCTGCCCCGAGTGTTCCAAACTATATGAACAGGGTAAGACTCAGGCACAGCTCTCATTTGGTGTGATGAGAAACTGAAGGTTAATTGTGTAATTACTGACTCTCTTTAGGTAACTACTGTCCAATTTGTTTCAAATGCTATGAAGACAATGACTATGATAGTCAGATGATGCAATGTGGCACTTGTAATCACTGGGTTCATGCAAAGTGTGAAGATCTAACAGGTAAGTGATGCATTATTAGACCAATGATTTTACTATGGACATTCATAAAGTACACATGTGGTTTATGATGGTAAATATAAATTTTATAATGATTTCAGATGAACTGTATGAGATTCTGTCGAGCCTGCCAGAGAGTGTGGTGTACTCATGTCGGCCCTGCAGCGTGACGCAGCCAAGCGCCTGGAGGGAGCTGCTGTACATCGAGCTCCGGTCCGGCATAGAGAAGGTTCTGGCCTGTTTGCTCTCCTCCACCCTCACACAGCACCTAGTCACCTGCTCACAGGTCTGGCTTTAACTTTTAAAAATGTGCTTGTTTTTAAAATTATGTTCTTCTCACCAAGCTCATCTTTTTGCAATTACTACAGTGTGAAAAGTTGGTTGACCCTGATCGTGGCATTGAAGGACAGCCTGCCTGTGACCTCCGAGCTGTGGGAAAGAAGTTTGACAAAGGCCTTTATACTACTCTGGTAAATATGCAACCATCAATCTGTGTCCCTTAATTTAAGATATGCATATGTTGCATATGCAAGGATAATAGAGGTGATTTTGTTTTTATAATTTTTATGAATGATATTTCACTTTTAGAAAATGTTTCATGAAGATGTAGTCCAAATGGTGAGGAAGAGAGTGCAGCAAGAGGAAGATCTTCCAGAGGAGCAAAGGCCCACAGCTCTGGCACGTTCTTACTACTTAAAGGTGATGACACTCACAAACACTATCCTCATCCTCACCCTGATGAGGAAATTTGTTAATTTTAAGGTATTAAGTAATTTATCATTTCAGCTCCTTGAGGAAGTTTTCAATTGGTTTAATGGTCAAGACCCAAAGGTGTGGAACCCATCTACCAAAGACTTGCCATTGTGAGTGACATTCTGTTAATATAAGATAAGAACTTTACTTGTCACTTAATGGGAAAATAGCTTCTTCATAAATGCTTGACAGTGTTTTCAATTACAAAACTGTTAAATTATGACTTCATTTTCTAGGGGAATGTTGTCCAATGCTGTGCATCCGCCTACAACAGAACATGTCTATGCTCAATGGCAAGAGAGAGAAGCACAGTCTAGGGTCCCTCTAGGACGCTTACAGGAAGATGATGGACAAAATCTGTGTATAAAAGAAGAGCCTTCTACCACAGTATCAGAGGATCCAATTAATCATTTCAAATCTAGCAGGATGGCAAGGCTGAAATTAAAAGGTACACCTTTCATTTTATTCGGTGAAATGTGTGTATTTTTTAAACTTACATTTGAACATTTCTGTGAACATTTACAGGAAAAAGGGGTCGACTGTCCAAAGCAGATTTAGACACTGGATGGACAGAGGAAGATAACAGACAGTGCTCTTTGTGTCAGAAATATGGAGATCTTAAGCCAAATGTAAGCATATGGACAATCACAATTTACAAACGGAAGTATGAAAAGTTGATGATGAGGAGACTTACAAGTATATGTTTTTCTGTAGGAGGCAGGGAGGCTGCTGTATCTGGGGCAGAATGAGTGGGCCCATGTTAACTGCTGTCTGTGGTCAGCTGAGGTTTTTGAAGAAGACTATGGGTCTTTACTCCATGTGCACAGCGCTGTCACCAGAGGCCGACTAATGGTGAAATTAACTCTCTGTCATAATATTAACTAAAGTTTTATCAGTTTGATAAAGTTTTAGTGAATCTTTACTGACTTAAGTTTTTTTTTTCCTTTATAGCGATGTGAGCGCTGCAACAAAACCGGTGCTACAGTGGGATGCTGTCTAACCTCATGTCAAAGCAACTATCACTTTATGTGCGCCCGCTCCCGTCAATGTGTGTTCCAAGATGACAAGAAGGTCTATTGCTATAAACACAGGCATCTCATCAGTGGCAAAGTAAGCCTATTTTATATAATTTCTGAACCACTTTGAAGCTGTATTAGTTCATATTCATTATTTGTGTTCTATTTTGTCCAGATGGTAACTGGCCAGGAGTTTGAAGTGAAGCGCCGGGTGTATGTGGATTTTGAGGGCATCATGCTGCGCAGAAAGTTTCTTACGGGAGTGGAACCTGAGTTAATTAATGTTATGATAGGTAAGCACTTTTTCTCAAGTACACTATATTACTGTTTTATCCCTGTTCAAATCACATACTCTATGGGTTTTTCTACAGGTTCTTTACACATTGACAAACTTGGTGTGCTAACTGAACTATCTGCCCGAAAGGGGAGGCTGTTTCCTGTTGGATTTCAGTACGTTTAAATTTTTGTCATTTTAGAATGTCATGATTTTACAGAATGAAGCATATAAGCCAGTTTCTCTGCATCAGTGATATTGTATTTTCAAAAAATATTCAAAAAGTAGATCACAAATGTTTGATTTCATGGCATTTTAACAAAATAATATGAAACACTTGCCTTGCCATGAGCTGTAGGAGGTTGTTAAGCAATCTATGACTCAGCAATAATCAAACTGTTTCTGAATCCTTTTGTCACTTCATTCATAGATCTTCACGCTGGTACTGGAGCACTGTGAATCCACACAGGCGGTGCAAATACACATGCACAGTTAAAGAGGTGAGGCCCCTTGTTCCTGAAAAACCTGTTGAGGAGATGCCTGACCAGGGAGACAATCAAACCATTGCCCACAGCCCCTGCCCACTCCAAGGTGAGGAGATTTCTGCAGCAAAATGTATTATATAATTAAAAAAAAAATAGATAATAATGGTTATAATGTTTTCCTAGAACCTCAAGATCTTCCAGTTAATGCAGCAAACCGGCAGTCTAGCATCCGAGAAGCCAGCGCACCTGTTCCCACCCAAAAGGCAGACCATGCAAGCAGGCCAAAAATGCCCAGAAGGCCAGCTGGAGGCATGTTCCGCCCCCTGCCATGTCCAGGTACTAAAAGTAAATGAATGGTAAAGAAGGAAACGAACCGCAATGTGTGATATGATTTAACCGTTAACTCTTTCTGTTTATCGAAAGGTGTAACTCCATTGAAGCCGCATCACATTTTAACCATAAGTGATCTTGATGAGACCCGGAAACCACGTCGCCACAGTCCACACTCTCAAACCCCTGGTCTTCATGGTCACATCTCTCCCCCTTTGCCTGGACCGATCACCCTGCGCTCCGGGAAGTCCTCTCAACCCTCATCTCCTCTGTTCCCTCTTAGTGCAGCTGAAACCTCTCCCTCGCCACGTCCTGGAGGCGGTAGAAATGCTTCCTCTCTGCGACACCATAGTAACGCAGTGCCACATGGTACTTCATCCTTTTTCGCCCAGTCATCATGGCAAGACAACGAGCCCAGCTTCCCTTCTTCCAGTCTCTCATTCTCTCCAACGATACCGCATTTACCCAGGAGCAGACTGTCGTTCGACTTGAGCCAGCCAGACTCCGCGGAGGTACCACACAACTTCTTGGCTTCACCAGAGCCTGAAGATCTCTCTCCTACTCCAAAAGGTGATTCAGAGCAACAAAAAGATGTAGAGGATTTTCCTTTCAATTCATTTCACAAGGATTCTATCATAACTTTGAGTCAGGATATGAGGACTGAGCTGGAAATCGAAGAAACACTCCTCAATGAAGGTGTCGCTATGAATTGTGGAGGACAGATAGTGGTGGAGGGTGATGATCCTGAGGGGTTTTGGGAGGGAACTCAAGAGATGCATAAAAGAAAAGGTCTGGTTGTTGCCAATCTTCCTCATTCATCTGCTTCAACAAGAGATGACTTTGGAAACAGCTCATCTGATGATGACATGGAGCACTATTTTGACTTCTCGCGGACAATTGTAACTCGTACTGGATCTAAAGACCATTGCAAGCCTCCTTCCTCTTCCTCTAAAACTATGGCTCAGCTGGACGGAATAGATGATGGGACTGAAAGTGATGCAAGTATTGCCACTAATGAAAATTCTGTGAATGATGAAGAATCTGGTAAAAAAGCAACAAAAATCCAAAAGACTAAAAATGTTCCTGAATCCGAGCCTGAAAAGAAAGTTGATCCCATTCCTGATTCTTTTACTACATCTTCACAAAAGCCGATAGATTCATCATTGTCTCCCATTTCAATTGCAATAAGTTCAAGTTGCCCACAACAAAATTGCCATAATTCCTCCAAGAATACTTGTTCGTCTAGCAAAGAACAACACTCCAAGACTCCATTAGAAATTGAAGATACTATACATTCTCACCTACAAAGCAATCTTCCAAATGTAACAAGAAAAGGGCATGAGGCATCAAATTTGAAAGAACTTTTCCAGAGTTCAAACTTTGGACTTACCTCAGAAGCGAGATTGATACTTGAAAAATGTGACAGTGCCCCACATCAGCAAACTGATGTTCGTAATCTGAAGGTTTTAGAGACTGAGCCTGCAAATCTCGTCTCACCTGTGGAATCTGAAGAACAGAAAATGGAAAAGTCTTTAGATACTCCACTACCTCCACCTCCAACATCCCAAACCCCAACAACGCACACAACATCGTTGCAAATTCTCCCTAATCCTTTGCCAGTCTACTCCTGTTTGCCAACTATCAACCAGCCCCAACTGACAATTCAGCCTGTAACGTCTCCACAGGAGATAACAAGCACCCAGCCAGTGGACTCCGTGCCCTCTAAACTGACCGCTCTCACTCCCGTTGATGTAACGCAATCTTTACTAAATGTTGTCCCTCAGCCGGACCCTGTGTTGTCCTCATCTACTCCCTTTTTGCCAACGGCATCTACAGCAACTGTCTCTGTCCCCATGTACCCTGCTCAAACACAGCCTATGTGCTCCCCAGCTTTGACCATAGTTTCCTCCTCAGCCACACTGGCTTCAGCTCCTGTGTCACTCCACACCACCACAGCTCCGGTCATTTTGAATGGCTACAGCACCACATCTCTGCAGAAAGAGTCTACAGCCGGTCACACTATCTCCATTAACTTCTCTGCACCACGACCAGCACTGGAACCTCAGCAAACAGTGCTGCCCCAAGCTTTACCTGGACATGCCATTCTAACAGTGAAGGAAGTGGGAGGTCCAAATGTAGACCCCACTCCTCATGTCCTCCTTGTTAATCGTCTTGGCCAAATATTTGTGAAAAACCCAGAGAGCAACACCTTTCAACTTCCAACTCCGAACTCTCCTTCTTTTAACTGTGTAACACAGATCGCCAGTCTTTTACAAAGTAATGCTTTGTCTGCTACTTTAGCTGCCGCTGGGGGCATGCCTGTCCCTTCCCCGGCTGCAAACATGGCTGCAGCCACGGTCCCTACAGTTCAAAACCCAACTACAATTACTCAGCTTCTTGCTCACAGCGGGAATGGTGCTGTCCCATCAGTTAGCACAAAGAAACCAAGAAAAAATGCAAAAACTCCAAAAGATGAGGGTGTTCCAGAGTCCAAAAAGCCAAAGAAGAAGAAAGAACCAAGTTCATCCAAAAAATCCATGTCTGCCAACCTTCCTGAGAATCCTCCCATGACGCCAGCTGAAAGTGCAGAGGCCATCATTAACCAAGCCATGGCCAGTAACTACACCCCAAAGTGGAGCGGTCTCCGTTCCCTAAGCCCATCTTCTCTTGTTTTACCCCCTGGTCTGTTAATTGAACCAGAGCCCCCAGCATCTCCGCCGTCTTCTCCACCTGCATCTGCACCCGCCCCTGCTCCTACACCCCGCCCCCGCACCCATGTGCGCATGAAGAGGGTGTCATCTCTGTCAGATCGAATCGTCACCAAGAAATCCAAAGTGGACTTTCTTCCACCAGAAGCCCCCAGTGAAACTGATGAACGCCGGAAACCAAGCATCTCAAATCGCAATTCTGGCGTCCGAATCAAAACTCCAACAGTGAAAGGAATCCTGAACCTCGATGAGCTAAAGGAGGAGCAACTGAGCGATTCTGAGAGCTCAGGGTAAGCCTCAATTTTGAGGGATTTTTTTTGATACTTGAGCACTGATTATGTAATAAGGATAATTTGAATGTCTTAGGTCTGAGCTCTGGAATCACATGTCTAGAGGTGAACAAGGAAAACATCAGCCTGGGGAGCTAGTAGAACACAGCACTGTGAGCGACTGGAAGAAGTACTCAGGTATTTAACAGTGTATGATGTAACTTGTATTATTATATTTGTAATATGTTATGCGCAAAGGACGCTTTTATAAACTGACAATTTTGTGTGCTTGTTGTTTAGGAGCTTCTTCAGGGTCAGAGGACGAATCTCCACCATCAGATGAGGAAGAGGAATGTCCAAATAACAAGGACCAGCCACATCTTAAATTTGAGATCAAGAGTGATGATGGTTTTAGTGTTGAAGCAGACAGTATTGAGGGTGAGTTGTTTTTCAAGTAATTTTTGGCGATTTTCTAATATCTCTGGTTATTTATGAAAAATGATAAAATATGCTCTTTTTTTATACAGTGGCTTGGAAGGCAGTTATTGACGGGGTGCAGGAAGCACGAGCCATTGCACGACTGCGGCCTCTGACCTTTCAGAAGATTACTGGAGACCACATGTTGGGCTTTGTCCACGACACAGTGGTGTTTTTGCTCGAGCAACTACATGGAGCTCACCACTGTCAGAAACATGCCTTCCGCTTTTTTAAACAGTTCTCCCAAGAAGACGACCTACCAGTGAACCCCACCGGCTGTGCCCGCTCTGAGCTCTATGTCAGGTACGAGGCAGTCACACTCAATGAATAGATTATTGGATTTCATGTTCGCTCATGAACTGTTAATTTTTCTCTTAACAGAAAGTCAACGTTTGATATGTTCAACTTCCTGGCATCACAGCACAGACAACTCCCAGACATAGATCTTTATGATGATGAAGAAGATGAAGTTCTTCTCAAATCCACGAGGTCAGGCTCCTGTCTGTCCTGAATGTGCCTATTGCCATATCAATGTGGTTGTAATCAACACTTCTGTCCTCTCTCTCCTAGACGGGCCACCAGCCTGGAGTTGCCAATGGCGATGCGCTTTAGACATCTCGAAAGAACCTCCAAAGAGGCTGTGGGCGTTTACAGGTCACTAAATGAAATATATTTTGTAATGCATGACACTAAACGCACAGTAATGCAGCCCAGTATTAGCAGGGCTTTTCTAATACAAAGATAAATAAAGGTTTATTACTGAGCAAAGGAATATAGCAACTCAGAAAATGTTACCGGCAAAGGTAAAAGTACATCTTTTGCACAGTTGTACTCATTCTCTTGTGTGCCATAGGTCTGCTATCCATGGCCGAGGCCTTTTCTGCAAGAGGAATATTGAAGCTGGAGAGATGGTTATTGAATATGCAGGCATCGTCATCCGATCAGTGCTTACAGACAAAAGAGAAAAGTACTATGATGGCAAGGTGTGCAGGCGGGCAATATTCTTATACACAGTTTTAATACACAGTAACAAAAAATAACAATTTTTTTGAATGTTGTAGGGTATTGGATGTTACATGTTCCGCATAGATGACTTTGATGTTGTGGATGCCACCATGCATGGAAATGCGGCAAGATTCATCAATCACTCCTGTGAACCCAACTGCTACTCCAGAGTGATCAACGTGGAGGGTCGGAAGCACATTGTCATCTTTGCTTTAAGGAAGATCTACAGAGGAGAGGAGCTCACTTACGACTACAAATTTCCAATTGAAGATGCCAGCAACAAACTCAACTGCAACTGTGGGGCACGGAGATGTCGGCGCTTCCTTAACTGAGCATTTTCACACAAAGAAGAATGGATTGTCTTTGCCTTAAATTAAAATGGCACTGACTGTGGCTCAGTGATGTGGGAGGAGAGTCACACAAACACAGGGGTTTGCCACTATATGAGCGGACCATAACATCAGGACCAGGACCAGTCCACCTTTGTCCAGGATGATCTGGGGCTTTGTTTTGGATCAGCGAGACACCACACTATAATTATGGCTGCAACATTTTTCTTTCAAAACACACGTCAAGCCTTACCCATTTGTATCATTGCTAAATCCTAGTTATTCTAGGTTTTGAGATTCCTTTTGGGTCGTTTTCTAATTGTTCACTTGTAATCATGATTGCTCCATCTTCAGTGGTGGGATTTTTGGGCCCCATCTGTGCAGTCTTACCATGAGCCATAATTTCACCTTTTACTTTTACTTTAGTTTTTTATCTGCAAATTAATGTCTCCTGTGGTGATTTATTTTTAGATTTTTCTATGGTGCTAAGTTTTGAAAGGCTGTCGCTTTAATTTATTTGATTAATATTTCCGTTTTACAAGGAACAGTTCCTTCCTATCAAACTGACATCTACAGTTTATGCACTCAAGTCTATTTTTGTCATGTCTGCTCAGTTTGAAGTCTCTAAGTGTGGGCAGTTTTGTGCCTACATTTTCCCTTGATGCATAAAAATACATTATTATGATGTAACGGTTTCATTAGCAATTACTAATTTCGCACTTGTAAAGACAGACAAGTGTTTTTCAAACTTTTCTTTGGTTGATGTACAGTGTATGTAGCAAATACAGTACTACCAAGCCAAACATGAAAAGTTAACAAAATAGTTTTTAAATCTATTTTATTACTATTAGGGCAAATGCTTATTACCTATTGCAATAAGACTGCAGTTGCACATACTCAAGACACACAGGTTTTAAGTTTTCTTTTTATTTTCTTTTTATTTTAGTGAAAGTGCTACAGTCTCTTATCAGGGAGAGCACAGTTAAACGCATGGCCACTGGGTGTATGCATAGAGCTTCTGCACCAAGCTTGTTTCTAATTGTTGCTTTTCTGGGGCGTGTCTAGAATCCTGTACTGGAGCTGCGTGGTACACAGCACCTTAAAGATGTTGATGTTGTTCTTAGATGTTCAGTGCTGTCACCATGAAGCAGATTCACTGTTTATATGGATAGTTCTATTTATTCCTGATTTATATTAACAGTAAATGTGTGCATTGTATAAAAGGTGGTGGTCTGGTATATTTGAAGATCTCCCCATTTATATAATTTTTTCTTCTTTGGTTTACAAGTGATGCCCTATACATATATATACATATATATATATATATATATATATATATATATATATATATATATATATATATATATATATATATATATATATATATATATATATATATATATATATATTATATAAAATGTTATATATGATATATATAATATATTATATATATATTTACTTGAATTTTTGTGGGGCTGTGTCATTCATTTATATGCCTTTTATTAGATAGCTTTTTATTTCCAAAGCAGGTCGTTTAACTGTTCAGAGTTTGACTAAATACCAACAGCCACAAGAGTTAGTGCACTGGCTCAACAAATTATTAAACACATCTTTTCAATACAACAGATAGGATTTTATTTTTATTTTATTTTTTCTTCTTTTTTTGTCTTAAACCCTTTTCCTTGCATGTCCAATCACTGGGATGGAGCCCAGATTTATTTGTTTCAATCACCTTAAATCACAACTATTGAGCAAAGTCACTCCCAACTACTTGCAAGGATTCTACCTCAGCTGTTTCGGCAGATGTTTGGGAATACTGATGCAAAATGAGAGGATGATCATAATTTCAGAGTAGATTGGTTTTATTCTCCTGCAGAGGTGAAACTGTTTGTTGTCTTTGTATCTTTGTGTGCGTATGTGCGTGTGTGTGTGTGAGCGAGAGAGGGATGAGCATTTGATTGATTCAGAGTACTAGACGCAATTGATCATGACCATCTATCCCTAAATCTGTTCAGAAAGCTGTATGTTGTATAAAACATATAAAGATGAAAGTATATATAGTAGGGTTATTTTAAAATAAGTGTAAAAGTTATAAACATGATAAAATATGTGATCTTTAAATATGTCTTTGTTACCATGTAAAAATAAAACCTGAGTTTGTAAATATTTGTATACATATTTCTAAACCTGTTTAATTTTTCTATGCACTTTTTTATTTATGATGTTATTTGCTTAATAAAGATGTTACGATGTTCCAATACATGAGCTATATTCTCCACTTTTCTTTTGAAAGAGGAACTGCAAAAAGAGGAAGACCATCTGTTGTGCTAAACATCAATGACTTGAAGTTTGCTTGTGCTGAGCTTCCCTAGTGCTACCACTGCATCCACACGCTCTATTTGCTGCAGCAGCAGAACCAGATGTTCCACGGTCCAGTCGGGGTGTTGGCAGGTGACCCCCTCCAGCAGGGCGTTCAGGGGACTCTTGGTGTCCTTCAGCGAGTATGTGTAGGTCACCCAGTTTGAGGAGAATCTACACAGGGATGCCAGGTGTTTGGTGTTTTTAATGCCTTTGGTCTCAGGATCCAACAACATGATCAGCTCCTCCAGCACGTCCAAATCATTCAGAACACATTTCAGAGGTGCAGCCAGGATCTCAGGGCCTACACAACAGATGCTTTATTAGACCTCAAAATCTGCGCACTACACTAATACTTTTTATTTTATTTTATTTTTTTTACTTTTTACATTTTTAAACAGGTACTTTTATACTTTTACTTAAAGACATTTTCTGAGGTACAACTTTTACTTTGGCTTGAGTATTTTTTTGCTCTGGTATCTTTACTTTAGTATCAAAATTGAGTACTTCTTCAACCACAAAATATATTTCTAAATGAGAAATAAACTACAGAAAAGACAAAATGGTGCTTCTTGTTTGAGCCTAGCCATGGTGTTGAAGCCTTTAGTTCCATGTTCTGGGGAGTGAGACTTAAACTGCTGCTTCTAGGATGATAATGACAGATGGATAGACCTGCACAGGACTCTGAGTACTACCACCAGAAGCAAGCTGTTCTGTACTTTTATCTATATTATTATAGATAAACACAGCCGTAGTAGACATAAAACACAGTTGTCATATTACTATATGGTCAATGTTCAAATCATCACAGTTTCAGATATAGATTATGTAGCTAATCCTATACAAACAATCATTATCATCATTTATCATCATTAAAATTGTTGGCTACTCACTTAGAATGTCTTTCGGTTCATTGGTTTCTTGAGTTGCAAAGAGAGATGTTGACTGTTTGAATGTTTTTTTAAATCCTGTAAATAATGGTATTTTAACATTTGGATGTATTTATCATTCATTATGCAGCCCTATATATTTCTCAGTGCAGAAAACAGCATGCACCTCTTTTCCTGAAGATGAACCAGCAAGATAAGGCAAGTGCGACACAACAAATAAAAAGTGTGAGAGGCACCACCCCTGTCAAAACAGACACAAAGTCAGTCTAGTAGTTAGTATATTATATGATGAACAGGCTCCAACCTACAAGGTGTTTCTGGAATCTGAGGGACGACTGGGTTATTCTGAACAACCTGAAAAACAACACATTCGCAACACAAATTCACAAACTATTATTATTATTGTTATTATTGATCATTTTATTTTTCTCTGTATATTTCCCAAACCTAAAGGAGCATCGTGTAACTTTTCTGGTGGAGCGCCCATCAAATGCCTTTTTCTTGGAGATGTTATTTCTTTATTTAACAGTGTGGTATTAAACCTTTCTATTTTCATGGAGACCAAATCAGACCAAGTTATAGGTCAGATCTGTGGAGAGGCAGCCCGCAGATCTGACCTGTAACAAGTCAGAATCCTTGTTTTTCTAGATATTTTTGAGCAGTAATTTAATACATTTAAAATAGAGCTATTTAATGTCATGCTGTGGAACATTACAGGCAGTGCAATGGCATCTCCATAGAAACAAGCAGGTGACGGACCCTAAAACTAAAATTTACATAGTGCACCTTTACATAGTCTGCTGCAGGTGTTCGCAGTTAAGTTTCCGCTCTTTGTAGGTGTAAAGATAAAAAAAGTCAAAAGACTTACCTCATAGGAAGCTGTTGTGGTTTGCGTATAAGTCCTACGGAAAATACGTTAACATGGGATATAAAATACTTATTTGAGACGTTCAATAAACGCTTATATACGCTTAATAACCTACATGTTTGTTGTCTTTGTTGCTCCTTGGCACTTGGTATCGACTTGTACGCTACATGGCTCCACTATGGTAAAGCCCTGCACGCACGAGCTGCAGGGTTTACAATAGTAATTTGTGCCGTCGTTAAAACTGCGGTGTGGGCACTTTCTGGAAGTGGCTTCATGACGGCCCTGATGATCATCGAAGCCACAATTTGGGGTAATTTCTCGTCCCGGACCTTTACCAAATACAGAACTGATCAGTAGTCTACATTTACTAAAATATGTAAAAACAGAATATCTAAAATAAAATATAATAAAAATATATAAAAACAAAATAAATAATAATAATAATTATGATTATAATCATAAGTTTACCTGGTTTTTCACAGGGCACACATTTTCCATTTTTGAAGTATGTGGTACGGTCCGGACATTTAACGGAGTGCCCCATCCTTGCTCATTAATGTGACAATGTGATGGTTGTTCATAGTGTTAAGATCTGGCCACTCCCCATTGCCTTCTGCTAGCCTATATGTTTTCATCACATTGTAGCGGAATAAGTGGGTGAGGAGGAATGAGCCAGACAAACAGTCTTTGTGGTACACCGTCAGCACCGTGACCCGATTCTTGTGCAATGAAGCCCGAACCAGAGCGGGAACACGCTCTTATATACAGGCACTAGATTCAGGGGTACAGAGCATGTGCAAGAAGATTAAGTGTCTTAAAACAGCAGCATCTGATTCAAACCAGACACCTGCCTGAATGGGCTCAAGATGTCTCAGAGGAGACAAATATTCACCTCTGACCATAAGTGTAGGGTAAAACAATTGGTTGTGTAGTTAATTGTTGGAGCATTTATTTTGTCATTGTCAGATGAGTCTTTAAAAATAGTCTACTACTTTTAGAGAAGTTCTGTTCACATGATATTGCAGTAGCTTTTTTTTTTTAATAAAGCTGCAGCTTTAGCTGGTTTGAAATGTCAAGGGATTTTGCTTAATTTATTTGTTGCCCGACCGCACTAAATTTAGATTTAAATACTCAATTCAGGTATCTTAAATAGTCTTCAAAACACCGGGAATGAATAAATCCACAAATTCATTCGAATTAATCCATTACAAACAAACAAAACAAACAAAAACAAAAACAAACAAACAAAAAACAATGGAGAGAGACTGGATGGATCAGTATTTTATTTTTCAACATGTCATCTTCAAACCATCTGAATAAATCAAAATAAATATTCAGTATTCTGAAAAAGTAAGTAATTGTTCTTTATATTGCCCCATTTAAAAAAATGCCCATTGATTTCTGGAATGAAATGAAAATCCACAGAGCGAGACAATACAATTTGTAAACTAGACCTGTAGAACAAAATCTATTTGGGCTTGTTCTCTCATCCTGTACTCATCACTTGGAAACTAGAAAAAAATAGCCTACAAGCAAATATGACTAATCTTTATGTTTAACTGATGAGGAAGTTACATAATGTGCAAATGGATATTGTGATGCCATTTCTAGTTATATGATTTATTTTACACACTGTTATATTACCCATAGGGTATAAACCAAATACAAAAGTATTTGGCCTATACCCAAAAAATGCCCCAGGACAATTTGAAAAGTCTAATAAAGTAGGTATAAGCCCATTACTAAGACCCACAAAGGAGAAACACAATATATGACCTGGAAAGTCTGTAAAAGGCCATATTGTCCACCTGGGGGCGTACTAGTCACAGTTTATGCCTAGTTGAGACTCGGGGAACTATAACACTAGTAAACTGCATGCAGACTCTAACAGAAGACTATAAAAAGTCTATGAAACTTTTTGCCTGCTATATGTGGGAGCGGTACATGTAGGTGCTCCCAATGCTCCAGTCTGTAGGGAACTCGTGCAGTGCGTGGCTCTTCACGTGCCTTTGCATGGCCACCAAGCTGCTGCAGTACTCCAGGCACACGGTGCACTGGTACGGAGCAGCGCCACCGTGCGTCCGCAGGTGCTTGATCATGGCTGAATAGTCCCGGGAGCGCTGGCCACAGAGACGACACTCGAACGGCTTTTCTCCTGTAGAGCGTGACAAAGGTCCGAATTTAGCCCGTTATCTGTGTGTTCTTTGTATGTTCATTGTTTTAATCTTATTTAAATTAAGCGCATGACCAGAGGTGGATAGTACTCAGTTAGACCTACATTTTCACAGTTACATTTTCTTGAGTAACTTTTTAAGAAAATTGTACTTTTCAGAGTACGTTTCAAGCAGCATACTTTCACTCCCATTTGAGTAATATTTTGACTCAGCAGTACTCTTACTTGTTTACTCTTTCAAAAGCTTCATTTTGATAATATAATATGATTTGAACATTTGTGTATCTTGCATCGACCTCCAGATATAGTGTAGTTTCTCTCATTTTTGTCTGTTCTTTGTGCATTATTTAATATGTTATCCTTCAAATTACTTTAACTTCAAATTATAAATCAGATGTTACTCTTTAGAAGTTATTTTTACTAGTTTTCCCCAACATGTTTTTACTCCTACTTGAGTCATTTCTTTTATGTCTTTTACCACTTCTTTGTACTTCTACTTGAGTAATATTATTTTGAAGTAACATTGTTTTAAATTGTGTAAACATTTTTGGTACCCACCTCTGCCTATGACTAATAATGCAAATCTGAATACATAGATATGTACACATAATATATATACGGTTTTACAAACTATTCTTAGTCGTGTCAGTGAAGTTATATCACACAAGAAACAAACTAATACACACTATTAACTGCAAGTTCAGTTTACAAGTTACAGATACGTAAGTCTGCTCAAACAGAATTGTAAAGACACATAAATGCACTATATTTTTTACATAAACAGTGGTGTAAAAGGGGCACTAAGGCTACATAAGGAACTTTTTACCAGGTCACAACTGTTTATGTTTATGACCATATATAAATGAACTCTCCTGTCTGACAATGAAAATGTTTTTAAAGATCATGTTAATAGAGACTGTATTGGACCAAACAGGAAGGCAAAGACAGAGGCATTATGATATTATATTTGATCTAATCAAACTGACAAATAAAGAAATAAACTTTAGCCCATTAATATTAACTTCAAGCTTCAAATCCTCTGATTCACAAAAACTAGCCAACATCAAAAAATTGTATAAAAAGCTGTTGCCAAAATGCGCTTATAAGCAATACCACTGTAATGGATGTTAAATCCTAAGCAGCATAATTCAATTTTAAAGGTTTATAGCTGAAAGAAATATGTCTTCATGGTGTGTTTTGTTATTTGTGATTACAGTGATGAATGATGGTGACACTGACCGGTGTGCACGCGGTGGTGCGTATCGAGCTGATGCTTCAGGCTGAACCTCTTGGAGCAGTGCTTACACTGGTACGGTTTGTCCAGCCGCCGCTCTGCTTCATGTGAGCGAACACCAGGCTGCCTCATATCTCTACTACAAGATCTGCAAACTGCAAATTGTTTAGGATTTAGTCAAATTATCAAAATGATTTCATAAACAAACAGACAGTTTTAATAATAGACAGTTATTAATTTAAGACATATTTGGCCACAACTGTCCAACATCAGTCCCTCCAAACACCAGTAATCCCACAATCACAAAGAAATTCACAACAGCAAGGCAAGTGCAATGACTAAGTTACGTACAGTGGGATTGGAACTGCCTGGTTCATCTGTGAGCATTTCTGTTCACCGAGCTTCTGCTGGCCCCCTAAATATCTGTGCAGGATTATAACTACACATCCTAAGCTCGGCCTTTGTAGCTCTATTTTCAGTGGTAAGGGAAACAGAATAAACCACATCAAAACGTAAGCTCCAAAAGCAACACCTCCGGCGAACGACAAACTTTTACACAACTTCTGAAGTTTTTCATTTTCATCATGCAGTTACATATTTTAATGATTCTGTGAAATAATTAGCAAACAATATAATATAGTTTGCAGAGTCATAAAACACTAGTTACACTGAAAAAGCTGTTTCCAAACTGCATAAAATGTTCCACAGAGATATCTCAGATCAGTTTAAATTATGATAAGGCTGATAGTGAAAACAAACTGCTCGTCAATACAGAGCACATTAGACTATATATATATATATATATATATATATATATATATATATATATATATGTGTGTGTGTGTGTGTGTGTGTGTGTATATATATATATATATATATATATGTATATATATATATGTATGTATGTATATATGTATGTATGTATGTATGTGTATATATATATGAACAAATTAATTGTTATAGTGGTTATCTGCTATTTCTAGACTTTTTTCGATTAAAAATAACGTGCATGTGTTATTGGGGGTTTTTCTGCAGTACATACTGTACTGCATATACACTGCTGTAAGTAGTAACCACAATACTGCTCCTGCTGCACTGTGTGCTCAAACCACAACTCTTTATCACTTTCCATTGCGCAGCTCAGAGCTGGAGCCTTGGCCGAGGGTCATGACAACAACATGCTGTGAAAGTCATTCATTATATTAGCTCTGAATCCATGGTAATGTGTGGTGGGGTTGGACGCACCTGTGGACCCCTGGGGCTGTGCAGAGCAGTGCTGGCAGTCTCTTCCTGTGTCTGTTTTGGCAACATCCATATAACTGTGCAGAAGAAATCATAGTTATCAAATATACCTGTTGCAGATATAAAATATAATATGAATTAAATAGGGGTGAGTTTATTGTTATAGTAGTTATCTACTGAAAAGATAACAAATTTAAACCCCTTTAACCACAGTATCATGTAATATTTATGGCGCTATATGTTGTACAGTAGGTAATATGCTAATCTTATAGAAAGGGGAAAACATGGGAGATCCCCTTTTGGTTAGAAAGAGCTTTTTGAATATGGTCTGCAGTGGGATGAACAGCAGGTGAGGCTGTTTATGGAAAATACATGGAAAAAAAGGTCTCTTCAAAAACATCTACGCAGACAGTGATGAGTCAGGCCTGTCGCTGCCTCCAGGGAACAACTGAGCAGAGGGGATGTGATGATTGAGTGGAACATGATGAATTCAAAATGATCAACAAAAGCTGTTCTACTGACCTTGTCCTGCAGCTCCGAGTGTCCTGAGAGAGGGTCCTGTGCTTTCTCCTCTTGAGCAGCCCCTGTCTAAGGAGCCCTCCCACCCTAAGAGGCCCAGCGTTTGTGGAGTAATGTGAATGTAACTGCGAGTAGCTTAGCACAGACGTCTGGGCTGGACTCTGATAGGCCGATGAGAGCAGGACACGATGAGAGGGCATAGACAGGGGACAGGTGAAGCTGTTTGGCACTGAGTGAGCAGACATCAGAGAGTAGTTATGAGCGATTTGTCTTAAAGTGCTCACTGAGCTCCACATGTGTGCTGGGAATGTCCAGGGAGAGAATGGGCTATAGCTGGAGGTGATGACACTGTCCCTCTGACACTGCGTTACAGCAGCAGACAGACTCAGCTTCTGATCAGACGAAAAGGACTCATCTGCTCTCTTTTCGTCCGTTGTGCAGCCATCTGTCTGCTTAGGTGGAGGGTTTGAGTGTTCCTCTTTAACCTTTATGCCACCCTCTGTTTCTGGTTTATTGAGCTCTGTGCTCTTGTTTTTGTCTTCTTTTTGGAGTCTTTTGAGCAAGCTCCTGCACTGCTCCTCCAGCCCCTCCATCTGGAGTATCTGTGCAGCTGGGAGCAGCAGCCTCAGGTCCTCCTCCGTCACCTCCAATGTCTCAGAGTAGATGAAGTCCAGCAGCTGTCTGAATGTGCGCGAGGAGAGATGCTCCAGTGTGCGCTGTACAAGACTGTCCTGGTCCTGGGACATGAGGCGGGCCAAAGTTCTGCTGGCACAGGCCAGAACCACACGGTGAGCGTGGAATGTGTGGCCGTCCACAGAAATGACAGCGTCGCAGAAAGAGTGCGATTGTCTCAGCGCGTCGGCAGTCTGTAGGAAGTGGAAGTACTGGGGGTTGTTGAGCTGGATCATCTTCTCTATCACACACCTGAAACATGATTTATAAATGTCTATGTAAAATCATACAAGTTCAATTATAGATATAAATGAATATGAGGTGGTTTTATCTACATTCAAAAGACTTCCTGAACTGAGAAGTATATTGTGTTGAAATAAAGTATAACATGCATTTGAGATTTCATGCTTTCATGCAGACTCAAAAGCCACAAACCTGAAAAGTTTATGAAACTATGAGAAATGACTGTACACACGAGTAAACTGGAGTAAAAATCTAATGTCAACAACATCAAGAAAACAGTGAGCATTGCACTGTCCTGTGTCGGCGTGAAACAGACTTGGGACACCTTAATATACATTTACGTAAGAACTGCAACTGTGATCTCGGATACTATTACAGTTGAATTCATTTTTATGTAAAGAATCTTCAGCAGTACTTAATGACAGCATAAGAGCAATATTCAACAGTATTTATTGACACTAATACTAAAAATATACAACTATAACTAAAATAAATTGTAAATTAAAAATAAGATCTTGTCTTGAGAAATTAGATCAAAGCGGCGCTTGTGGACTCGCAGCTTTTCATGCACACTGACTGAACAATATTGGCACTGCATCTAACAGTGCAATTCTTTTTGTAACATACTATTATTTATATTTATTATTATTAAATATCATGTTTTATTTGGACCATTCTAAACCTATCGCTAGCGGATCTCATGCAAGGATGATAAGACATTTCCAGTGCCTCTGGAGGGTCATGGGCCAAGGATTTCAAAATATTATTTCATAATATTGGCAATGTATATAATCTATATTTTAATTGGAAATTGTATATTTTTGTGAAATTACGTAATTAAGTCGTAATTAAGTCAAGTCAACACAGATAAACTACTCAAATTAATGTACTTATTAATAAATGTATTTTGTTTACATTTTCACAGTTGTTCACATGGTTATTTTGGGGCCCCCAGCCTAAAATTTTGTGAAGGTGGTCTATAGTGAATCAATGAGATTGATGGAATGAAGGTGTGTCTTACCTTCTCACTGGAGCTGAGTCCTCTGCTCTCGTGTCAGGCCTGTGATGACTCTGATGGAGAAGACTGACTTCTCTCTCCTCTAGTCCCTCCTCTTCACCTTATCTCATTGGTTCACTGATTACACCACCAAAGGCACATTTTTTTCACTTTCAAAATAATTCATTTTTAAGCCTTGTTAGATGAATATAGATGAATATATATGAGAGTGAGTGATAGAAATGGGGCAGTGGTTTTGGAGCTTTGACTTCCAGTGGTGTTGTATGCTGTATGGTCTGTTGCTGGTCAATACATTAATAGACCGTTCAGTTCAGAGACACAAACCACTTCAAAGACAGGAAGCATACACAAGAGGCTGCTGGTACCGGCAGCTCAAGTTAGGCTGCACTGAAACTACGCTTCAGGCTCAAATATATGTATCACCAAAACTAGGTGTCAAAATGTTTGAAAAATAGGTCACTTTAGTATCTCTACTCTTTATTGTGAAATGTCACCAACAAAACTTGTGGTTTGTGTAAATCTCTGAGAATAACAGAAAAACATGGAGACTATTGTGAACAAATGTATTGTGGTGTGTCGAACTAATAACAGTATTGTTTTTACAACAATACCAGTTTCTATAAGTGCGCAGTCAGCGCCTACATTCATGAAATGAATTTTAGTTGAGATATTTAAATGTAACATTTTTTTTTTTTAGCAACATATAACCTATGCCACCACAATACTCAGACAAACTACTCATGATGCCAATGACTATCTGACAACACATCTAATCCTGCACATCTGACTGAGAATGGAGTAAATGATACATTTGCATATTTTGGTTCCAACTCCAGCTGAAGAACAGTATTGATCTGGAGCACCTATTGAACATGCATTTGTATGTTTACTTTTTAATATGCGCAACTGTTAGCATTTTGGTAAATAGAAATCTTTCCTATTTTGTCTAAGAAATAAATAAATTCATTATACAGAGCTGAAGCAAAAATTTCAATTTTTTTAAGCTTCAGAATAAAATTGAAAATCTCTGCCATACTTGAAGAAGTCTCTTGGATAAGAAGTAAAATGTATTCTAATTTAAAACTTTTTTTCTACCCTGTGTTAATGAACATCAGAATCAGTATGGTGTATTATGTTCACTTGAAGTAGACTATTTGAAGATGGACATTTATTGTGGGCAGAGTACTTTTCACTTGGACTGTAACGTACAAGTAGTGTTAACCACAGATGTTTCTTAATAACTTTGTTATCACACTTGATGCAAAGGTGCAACACTCTTTTCATTGTGCATCACTGTGGGTGCATTGAGGATAGTATTCACACCATATGGACTGAGCTCATAGGTTTCTATCCAAACTATCACCATGACAGCAGCTTTTAAATGTCATGCACTCTTAAATGGAAGGAGACTATAGCACCTACCAGTAATATGTGTAGTGTCTACTCCCTCCCCCCCCTCTGCTGCACCTGCCCCTGCAGACAGCGGACCCCCCTGAACTGAGCTTAGTCACTGTCACAGTTGAGATAGACTTCAGTGATGATAAATATACTGCAAATTAATGTGCTCAAGCACCCACACACAATACTAAGTAGGCCTAACTCTCATTTAAATGGGCTCATCTCAAGCAGTGACGTCTTTCATACAGAAGACTGACTTTAATCTTTGCAAACAAGAGGTTTCATATTGTTGTTTTGTTGAATGAATCAAAGTGCTACTGATCTACACTGTGCAGGGTGCAAGGTGATACTGTGATCATACCACAGTGGTGAGTGAGCAACAGACTTAAGAGGAACCACTATCAGAATGACTATGTGCTCTGTAGGCTTCACTGTACAGCCACTTCACAGTAAAGGGGTAAAGAGGACTACCCGTCACCCTTGTGGTCTGGAACAAGTGAACCTGAGTTTGGCCCAGAGCTTCTCAGTAATTTGTGGTAAGGAGGAGCCTACACAAAACCTTTGACTGATTTCTGCTGAGAACTGTGTCAAGACCACGTCAAAAGCAAACAGATATTCAGCCAGAGTGAGTCCAGGTCATTACTATGTTCGTATCACTCAAAACATTAGCATGGTTGCACAAATCCTTCACTGATCATGAAGGTATCATTAAGACAATATTTGTATCTGTGCAGAACCAACACATCTCTATTTTAAACTCAAAAACATAAGTTTCTATTTCCAAAGTATTCTTGTGGGGAAATCTTGGAAAAAAAAGTTGACTTTCCACTATGAGTAAGCCAAAGAGTTTCCCCATGTCTCCCCCATGTAAAACTGTCAAGGTTTCATGGTGTCCTATAGATCACTAATTCTTGAAAATTTTTTGCCCGGTACCACTGAGGAAAATGTACGTATCTTTGGGTACCACCTGATCCAAACAAGTTCAAAACAATTAGAAAGTGTTCTTTAAGTGCCTATGGCAATTCCACTATGCATTTCATAAAACATAGTTAATATAATCATATTAGGTTTTGCTAAAGCATCTTGCCTAGTTGGCTCTAGTTTTACAATTTCAATGACGTTTATATTATTGAGTAGTTGGGTAAAAGACTTTAATGAAATAAAATTGACAGAAAAAGCTGTTCCTTGTGCATAATTTGTTATATTTTTTTGTACTGATGACAAGAAGAGACATATTCCTTTTTAGAATTAGCACTAAATCCTATAATTAAAATTTTTTTTCTCAGATTTTGCTTCACAACCTACATAAAGTTTAAAACCCTTAAAGAAATGGCTCATTGAAAACTAGCACTCCTCACACTGATACTTGGTCATTGTTTTGTGATGTCTTGTCTCCAGTTCAGTCTATTGCATGTGTTTTAATGGCTGTGTATGTAAATAGTTGTAAATAGTTTTTTACTTACAGTGTTTTAACTTTTCTAGGGTGACAGTAAAATCTGTCCAAATACTACAGATGAAAATTTGCCTTGTAGCTAAATCTGGTGCATTTACAGAAAACAAAATAAAATAAACAGCCCCTTGATGATTAAAACTATGATAAAGTAATATACCACAAAACCAAATATTATAAAAACAAGAAAATCACATACAACAAGTACAAGGTGTTAAATAACTACACACACAGTATCTAATGGGTCATCTATTTTTATTACTATTAATTAGCTTGACCAGTATTATACTTCCGATTGCTTGCAAATACAGGTACACAACAGAGAACATTTTACCAAATTAGAATATCTGTCTGTCCCTTTTTTAATCTTAATAAAAACTAAATCAGTTCTTTTCATGATGCCACTGATGCCTCTACATCTAAAGCTGTTTACATTAGAAATCAGACAGTGTTGTTAAAAGTGAACCACATGAACACAAATGGACAAATTTGGTTGTGCTTAGTGCCATATCTTGTCAATTAGGCCATATATACCACACAATTTTACATTATCAAACATGTCAATTACGCAAGTTTCTAAAATTGCATTACATGTGATCAAAAATATGACCCAAACTGATTATTACATACAAATAAAAAATACAGAAAATTACATCTAAAACACAGCATTGAAAAAGGCATTAATGCAGCAATTAAAATCCTGGTTAATATTTGATTTTAGTTTATTGGGGATTTAAAAGGGAAGGCCAAGATTAACACAAGAGACATACAAATGTGGTCTGGTAACTACAGCACACTCCTCTTATGTCTGTTAAATGCTGGTAAGAAACTTTTTAGTGTTTTTAGGGAAACACAGGCAAGCTTATTCTCATCTATGATTTCAGTATTATCATTACAAGATCATGGACGTAAACTGTGGAGATACAGGTTTTCATTCACTAGCTGTACAATTTATACACCGAATGAGGACTATTTCTTTGAGTGTTGTAATGCACCTTCTACCTGCCTTTACGAGAGAAACACAAAATGGATGACGATGAGAAAAGGAGAGAAAATGCAAAAGGACATGGTACAATCATCCTTTGAATGTGTGATTATAGCTCAGGTGTAACCCTATCCAGACTCCAAACAACTTCAATGCACTCAATACATGGACTTGGTCTGCAAGTTGACAATAGTGCATCTGTTTTGAACTACACTTTTCTTATGCATCATTTGTTGCTTTTTCACCTCTCATCACAGCTGCAGATCAGAAAAACCCCAGTCCCCTTCATATTTCCTGCTAAAACACATCGAAGGACTACATTTCATTTGTTATCTAATACATCTCACTGATGTTATCTGTCTCAATCACTTTGTCTGTGAGAAGGTTACAATATTATGCCCTGAACAAAGTAAAGAGACTAGAGACAAAGTCCAAATGTCATTAAGCAAGTCCTACTACACAAAATCTGAAAGATCACCCAAAGAAAGGGGCAATCCCTCTTAGCTATTAGACAAGATTGTGGCAAACTTCAAAGAGTCAAATTTGTTTTACAGTGCTAACATTCAAAGTAGAGTTGTGTGCATATGACTTTGTCCTGCTCGAGTGTTGTCATAACACCGCCACCACATCTCTGCCGATTACCCACAAGCCACTGCTCCTATTTGCACCAAAGTAATAAAGAATGAGGAGGCTGCTACTGGGGAGGAGGTTTGGATAGTAACTACGATAGATCACTGAAAAGAAGATGGAGTCTCTAAACCTTAAATACATTCAGAAAGAAGTACTGTGTCGTTGTCTTGTGCTGGTTTTTACAACAGTCCGTTTTCAATCAGCCATGTTAGGAAAATGTTTCTCCTCTTCATAACAGCACAATGCACTATTTTTTATGTCTTGTCACACCACTGCAAATTAAGAACAGAAATGTCTACAACTATTAGTAGTATCTTACGGTATTTACAGTGTCCATTTGAAAACCGTGACAATTTTCCCCAACTTGTTAAAAGCTAGGATAGGAACAACACAAATAAATACGGCAGCATCATACACCGATTTGTCATGCTTCTGTTAAGTTAAAACAGACGTCAGCTTGTATACAGGTCTCTAGGTAGCAATCAAAACTTCACCAACGCAGAAGTAGTGTTTTTTATGAGGGCTTTTCGCACTGCTGACACATAGTTAGACTACAGTGTAATCAATAAAGCCAGTGACCATAAACTCCTCACACATTCAGAGTAATTATCTCCATTCTCAGTGTCCCAATTTTACAGTATTTTCCAATGGAGGGAAATTATAGTTAAAACATATACATGACCTCCACTGAGTGACTTTGACAGCAGGATCGAACTTGCACTCATCTACACTGATAAATAGGTCTATATCTAGCTGTGGTACAATTTAACAAAGATATTACTACTAAAAATAAATACTATAAAGCATTATGCAGCACTCAACTTCAGATTGTAGTGAACAATTGATCAAGTCATGCCACCGGAGTAATTTGGTTTTGAAAGATGTTTTGGGTAGGGATGGTCCGATATGTTTTTTTTTTTTTTTTTTTTTTTGAGCCGATACGGATATCCAATATTTGTCTTGCTGCTGTGGCCAATAACCAATGTTTGCCAATAGTAAAATTCACAAAAAATATCAAAAAATAATAATAACTTTTAAATAATGACAAAAATGATCTAGCATATAAAATTATTTGTAGCATGTTTGTGTAAATTATGCCTTTTTTATTAGCCTAAGTGCTCTTCTGTTTCTATTTTTACTGAGTAATCTGTTCAAAAAGACAAATCTGTTGCACTGAGGATGAACTGAGAATAACACATAGCACACACAGACTGGAGCGGCTTAGAAAAATATTGGTGCCAAATATCGGCTAAAATTTCAATATCGGACCGATATGATATCTGGGAAAACCCTCCAATATCGCAGATAACAATATTGGAACCAATATATCGCCCATCCCTAGTTTTAGGGGTATATGAAATGAAGTGGCACGCTATGGAAAGGAGAATGGACTTTATCATGACAATAGATGATGAGGGTTTGTAATATTCACATTCTGACATTGATGAGTTTGTTGGTCATTTACAATGGGTTTGAGTCGCAGACCAGACTTTAAGCAGTTACTTTAAGTTGTTGTCAATCACAGAGAGTGGTCCAAACACCACCTGTCCGCAGGGAGGGTTTTGGGCATGTCTCGTCATCAGTCATTAATATCTCTTCAGTTCATCTGCTCGAAGAATTTGTAGGTGGGGTTTTCGTAGCCATGGTTCTGCATTTTGTTGAGCTGCCTCTCCTCTGGTGTGAGCATGGGGTCGACCTGCGGCAGGAAATCATTTCATAGTATCAAAGGCTAAAGGTTGCACACACATTTTGAAAGCACATTAAGCTATTATGAGGGGCCTTCCATGACTAATAACCAAGCCAACATTTACATTTAATATTATACTATATATACCCCTAACCTATATTTGAACATTTAAATCTAATTAGATTTGATTTATATGCAAATGTCAAAGTATGTTTGTAATTCAAAATTAGTAGATTCAATACAAAAATATATTATATTATAATTTATAATTCATATTTTAAATATTATTTGAATGTGTGTGATTTGATTGATGTGATGTGATTGTTTGATTAATTAAGTATAGAGAATTGACTGATAAAATAATACTTAATTGATTGATTTATTTATTTTTTTGCATACATCCTATTCTTTGGAGTCTATAGATCAGCATTGTGTGACAAATCTACCATGTTTCTGTCAAACAGGTGGCCTAAATGATATAATAAAGAAAACAACAGTGGACCAACTATTTAAGCTACAAGGCCACTACATGTAAATACAGCTATTAATGTATTCATGGTAAATGATAAGTAGACAGACACAAATGTATCAGAAAAAAAGTTAAATTTAATTGTAAAAAAGAAAAAGCAGAGCTGTACAGCATTTCTTTGAAACTCCCTTTTTTATTTTAATGGCACCAAAATGTGACTTTTTGGGGTCAAAAGTCCTTCTTCGAACATAACAGACTGTCTGAAGAAGGGCCTGGTAAACGTTCTCTTACGTTTGTACCACTCTAAGGACCTCAGGGAGACCAGTCTCCTGCTGATGCCCAGAGTAAGGACTAAATATGGGGAGTCAGTGTTTCAGTTCTATGCAGTTAAAAATCTGGAACAGTCTTTCTGAAGATGTGAAACTATGACTGAATTCTGCATTCTTCTGTTTTAATGTTAATTTTATGACTATTATTTATGTTTTTTGTAGTTTGCATTGATATTTCAGTGTTCTTCTTTATGTGTAAAGCACTTTCTAAAACACTACACACAACTTAACCATGTGAAAGTCGCACCTCAACGATGCCGTGACTGATGGTACCATATGGCTTCCTGCGCACCAGTAGCAAACTGATCACCATCACCATGGCGATAGCTACTGCCACAACCAACAGCCCCACCATCGCCCCACGGTTAAATGTCTCCAGGGCATCGGGCTGCTGTGAGGTGGGAACAGAAATATATTAGGCACACATTATTTTTTTGACAGAAAAATATTAACCTAAACAATGGCATCTCATACCAGGGAGAGAGTGTGGACATGTCTGATACGTTAGGATACATTACACTACATAAAGTGGACTATGTAACATTTCAGGTGAGGGGGTCCGCCACCTGCTTGACTCCATGGTTAATGCTTTGCCTGTAATGTTCAGGTGCCCCCAACAGGCAAACATGATAAATGTTTTAAAATTTTTTAAGCAATTACAACACCTGATCTGAACATAAGATAGATAAGGTCATTGGCGGTGGACTACCTCCCTGAATTAATGTGACAAATATTATGACTTCACGTGATTCAGGTCTTACCAGCTCATCTCTCTCTATCTCTGGAGGTTTGGAATCTAGGAGCTTGAGTTCAGCAGATGTGTTACTCTACAACAAAACCAAGACTTTAGACTTCAGACATCATACTACACTCAAGTTAGCAGCCCAAAATCCCCTACCTTTTCTTCATATTCATAGTTAGTGCCTCTCTCAGATGTGCTGTCATCATATTCATCTACTGCACACAAATGACAAAATATACTCATGGTTAGGGAAATATCACGTCGTTTTCTTAATTTAAATGTGTTTAATTTTAACTTTTATTTATTTACTTCAACTACTTCAGTCAAATGTTGGTAAAATGTGACGAGGTGGGAAATACTCAAATACCTTTATTTGTTATAACTGTAATTGTAGTTTTCAGAAACCATACTTTTACAAGAGCCTGAGTAATACATTTTAGTATTATAACAGAACTCTTACTTAAGTAAAGATTTAGTTACTATTCCCACTGTGAGAAAGTTTGTAGTTCATGTTTAATGTCTTTCTAATTACACTAACTTCACATTTTAAACCAGATACTACATCCAGACAGTTACTTTTGTTGTTAAGTAGTTTCCCTCAGTTTCTTTTTTTAACTTGAGTTATTCTTCTTGTAAATCTTTGATCACTACTTTGTCATTCTACTTGAGAAATATTATTTTTAACTAATGCACTCCCAACTGGGGTAAATAGTTTGGCCACTATACCCACTGCATAATAAAACTATAAAGCAATGGCACTAGTAGCAGTTTACCTTTCTTATTGGACTGCAGATCTGTAAATAGAAAGAAAAACTGTTATACTATTTATTCATCACATATTCTCCATATCTTAAATGGTACTAGTTTAAGTGTGTGTACCTATGCGTGGAGGGTAGGGCCTGTTTTGGAAGGCGGCCTCCTCCTCTGCTTCGTCATCCTTCACTTCTTCACTCTCTGCGGGGAGCAGTTCTTCAGTGGTGCGGGTCTCAGAGAATGAAGTGGTCATGAGCTCGCTGATGTCCCCTAACTCTGCCTTCACCAGCTCCTCTGAACAGTCAGGGAGGCAAAAATGTGTTTAATATCGTATTTGAATAAGGGATGAAAGATTAAAGCAGCTGCTCCTCCAGCTAATGTAGTCTTGATCAAGCCTAGTGTAAGATCTGGAAATGGGTCCTCGAGTGTTATAGTTTCAAGTTGCTCCAATGGCACTAGTTTGAAAATGTCCTTCATCAAAGATTAATGTACATTATAACCTTATAAGCAAACATTTTCTAATAAATTAGTAAATGATGTATTGCAAAAGCACAACTTTTTGACAGAAATCAGAAGGCTAAATGTTGATTAACCCAATTACAAAACATTTTATCAACTGTAAAACTGGCCACAAAAAATAATGCATGCACATACTAGTCACATGCCAAAGGGTTTGTGAAAGCAAGACACTGAATACAGTCTTGAGAGAAATGAGAAATTTGTGCTTAAATATTTCCCGTAAATAGACTGACCCAAATATGAATCATGTCTTATAAAACCCAGAGTGAGTAATGGTGCTTACGGATGTCACTATGTAGCTCTTTGGCCAGTGTGGGGTCTTTGTACAGCAGTGCAAGGCTCTGATTCATCCTCTCTTCAAGCACATGAAGATGAGTGTAGACCTGCACAGAAGTTTGACCACGTAAAACAAAATGGGAAATTATGAGTCAAGACAGATTACATTTACAAGAAAAATATAATGTCCACAGAAACTATATACTTGTTTATCAGTGCATTTTTTGACCTTTAACAATAGGCGTAGGACAATGCAGCATTACATTGCATTTAATGTGTATAACCTATATTTTGGCACAGACTAAAATTAATGCTATGTTTGAAATGCTTTAAGACTGACTTGTATACATTAATACTAAATTGTTCTGTGCCAAATTTAGTTACCTCTTACACCAATGTTAATAACCTAATAACCTTGTTAATAACCTAAACTTTAAGTGCCTATTTAAAATGTACGTGCTTATGATACTTGCTATCTGCACTTTAATATTTTAAGAAATATTTGAATATTTTACAATGTAAAATGAATAAAGACCAATTATCTTACAATTACAATTAAATGCAGTTATCAGACTTTATAGCTAACCTGAAACTTCATCTGTTCTGCCTTCTGAGGGTCCACAGCCACAATATGGCGGTAGTGCCTGAGAGTGTGTCTGCGGTCCTTCTGCTCTGCCGCGATGTAGCGCTTAAGAGCCTGCAGCACCCGGTCTGGCTGTGAGACAAAAATAAACATTGAGAATATTTAGAAACTGTACATTATAAGCAACTTTTCTGGCCATCTGCTTGTGTCAGTGGAGATGTTATTGCTTTGTCTGGAATGTTCCACAGTACGGCATTAAACTTATCTACCACCATGGAGACCAGATGACACCAGGCCAGATGACATTACTATATTACTCATTAAGATCTGTGGAGAGGTGACCCTGTCCACAGTATGAATGCTCTTCAAGGTATTTCTTAATAAAAAATACCAGTAATAGAAAAAATACCAGATTGATCATTTTAATATCATACTATATAACACTCAGAGCAGTACAATATATGAGTTTGACTGTTGCCATAGCGAGTAGCAATTTTTCATAATTTTTTTTATATTTTAAATTCCAAACGTCACCTATAACAGACACCTGATGGTCCCATGGATAACATTTCAATGAAGCACCTTTAAATTACACAAAGAAGCAAGGCTGAATACATCGTAATGTTCTTGTACCTGGGGAGGATCGGACTGCACTGCTGTTAGGTAGTTCTCCAGGGCTAAACGGCGGTTGTTGTTTAAAATGGCTTCAACTCGAGCAAGATGTGTTTCTACAAGTCTCTGCCTCTCTCCGGCAACCTGCTCCTCCAGCGTCTGCAACACTGACTGGAAGTGCTGAGGGGAAAACAAAAGTCAATAAGCAAATTCATTAAATTTTTCAGATACTGTTAATGATCACATATACGCTAGTGTTAGAAAATACAATAAAATGCATCTAAATTTGTGCAGGCTATGTAGCATAGTATAAAAATACATGATTTTATTTACCTGAAATAAAATGTACACCTTTTAGTTTGCATGTCCCATTTTTGCCCCAAACATGCACATTCTTATTTCAGAGCCAATTACATTTTAGTTTTGAAGGTTGCCCTGTTGCATAAATTAAATGATGTAATGTAATCTTACCTCATTCAAGGCCTGTCTCTCTGACTTTGGGAGGTTCTTTGACTGGTTGTCTGCCTCGGCCCATTCTTTCATAATCTAAAAACACAGTTACGATTTATTAGATAATTCTATCCCAGTAATTCTTCAAATATTATCTTCTGAACAACAGTGAACTTTAAGCCATGCCTCGCAGCCCTCGTGAGACACTTATGGAGATATGTGAACCTTTTTATCTGTTTCTCTGACTGCACCATGTACAAGCCAGTGGCAATGTCATTCAGAAAATTAGATTTGAGGAGAGTGAAAGTGTAGCTCTTGTGGCAGTTGAATGGATGGACTGTCAAATCTGAGACCACTGAACTGTTACTGCTGTGAGCCCACCTCGTTGATGCGCTTCATTCTTCTCTCCTCCAAGTCGGTTTTAGCGCGCAGAAAATTAGCATGCTCCGTCTCATCCACAGGCTTCTCAAAGTACACATCAACTCCGTCTGTGGGCCTTGGCGTGGTCACTGGACACAAAATAAGACCGCCTTACTTTAATGCATGTAGAAGGATGTTAAAAGCACCCGCAAAACAATACACTTAATAATGAAACAAACAAGTCATAGATCTTCAAACATGTGTGTAAAGTGACATTTCTGCACTTTTGTGGGGAATTTTATGGTCTATTCACACTTGGCTACTTAAACCCCACATCACCCACCCCTACTAGCCTAAGTTTAACCAATAAAGTAACAAACTTTCTGCCCACTGATGTGCCACTTTGTGAGTTTGTATGCAAGTTGTTTATCTTCATCAGATGTGGTGGGCAAAGCTTTTCTACAGATATGGTGTATGTGACAGCGTGTCTCAGATTAAACTTTAGATAATTCTTATCTTGACTTAGAGGTGGAATGGGGTAAATACCTATCATTTGGTATGGGAGACAAGGAAACGGTCGTACCTTTTCAATGTCAAAGCAAACCAGGGAAGATGGCCAAAATACTAAGAGGCAAATTGTCAATTCTTGTGTAAATATGAAGCTTAAAAATTAAGTTTTAAATCTTTTATCCAGAATTGGGTGAATAGATTGTATTTTTTGTCGAACTTGCACTTTGAGATAGGAGAGGATGTTCATAATTTTGCTATAATTACATTTGACCATACTGTCGAGTGTTTTTCCATTAACCGAGGAGACACTGGTGGCCGCCAATGGTCCAATTTTCTTCCTATAGTCTATAGACAAGCTGAACAGTAAACTGAGATAGGCTTTTTGCTTCTTGTGTTAATATAAACATGCTAAATTATTTAAATTATTCTTGCTTGTACCCTAAACTGTACTTGGTGTATAACTGTGTTAAACTAGGCGCTGAGGGAGTGTTTTTTGTTTTTTTTACTGTAGATAAAGTCCAGATTGTCAGAGGTCTGGTACAGACCTGAGTCTATGGAATATTCGTATTCCTCTGGGTCTTTCACTGCTCCCTCCTCTTCCTCCTCTTCCTCCTCTTCCACCTCCTCCTCTTCCTCTTCATTGTCGTCCACATCTTCGTCATCCTCCACCTCCTCTTCTTCCTCCTCCTCTTCCTCCTCCACTACTTCATCCTCATCTTCCTCCAGGTCAGGGTCGGGGGAGGGACTTGGAGTGGGCACTTTAATGCTAATGAAGACAATGTTTAATTTTATTTTCATGTTTCCAATGGCACCATTTTAAGCACATTTCACCATTCAAATGATAGAATATTACATTTTGAATTGTTAATTGCTCTGACAAGAGTGCTAATTTTTATAATATAAATGGAAACAGAATTGGGTATTTTCTTTTAGTCATACCAGGTCCTGTTCCCAGTCTGAAAGAAACACTTGAAAAAGGCTATTGTATTATTGTCAAAACTGATAGGGCTGTATTGTGTCATATTTTGTTTACTATATTGACTCATTCCTCATGTCTAGAAATAAAGCTGTAGTTACCCAGGGTTGACTCTCCCTCCGCTCTGTGACGTGATGATTTCGGGCAGAGCGTGGCTTTCTCCGGTCTCCAGTTCCAGTTTGTTGGAGGTGCTTCGGCCCGGGCAGCACACGTACTCCACTCCTTTGAAATGGTCGCCACATGGGAGCAACATGCCATAGCTGTGGAGCTCCAGATTGTCCGCTGTGCAGGCCTAGCATAGACAACCAAACATATTAAATCATTTTTAATCCACAGAAGGGTTTTGTTATGATAGAGAAGGTGCATTTAAGGAATATTTTGGGCCACACGTAGAAGCGCACATTAATATCAGAGTAATGTGATCTGGATATTTACACTACATATAAACATTCAAATACAAATCCACTTTATTCATATAGCAAACTTTATAAACCAAACAGTTTCCAAAGTACTGCACAGAGACAGAAAACAAAACAAAACAAAAAACTACAAAATGTACAAAAGCAATTTAGCTGCTGACACACAGATCCTGTAGAATGACTTTACTGTGGCTTACTGATCGCTCACCTCTTTGGCGATGTTGTGCCAGTAGACATAGCTCTCACAAATGTCCATCTGCTCTTTGTGCAGGAAGCGGCAGCGGTCAGGAACCAGCAGGGCCTCACTCACGTACTCCCCCTCTGCAGTCAAACACACAGGGAGGGTAAGAAAGCTTTAGTCTTACAAATATATCAAAGAGCATTTGTTTTGGAAAAATTGAAAAACTGTATGGATCATTGATCAGTAATTTAATATTATTTTTAGCATATTGTGTTATATTATTGCCTATTTATGAGTAAGAGTAAGAGTCAAGCGGCTATAGACGACCACAAATAAAAAGTCATACAGAAAGAAAAACATGTGGCAAGGCTGGAACTATGGCCAATTTGTCCCTCTAGTGGCTACATGTAGACATAACCACTAGAAACTGCAAAAATATGTAGTTAAATTCAGAGACAAATGCATGAATAATGCATAATATATTAATGTATTGTATATTATTAACAAATGTAGTTGAGCTGTAGACCCTGAAAAGAAATATCAGACACAGACAATGCTTTATGTAATAGGTTATGTAAAGGAATGAGGTTAGCTGTGATCCCACTGAAGCACTCTGCCATGTTTTATACTGATTCACTGTGATGTTTGATGTCTGTCAGTCTGTCACTGCTGAACTATCTGGGGGAGACACCAATGCTCTTTTGCAATTCAAACTAGGACATGTAGTGGATGAGCAGCCATGTAAAATAAAGGGGTAGAGAAATAATGGCACTATTAAATAAAATAAGTAGTGTTTTGTTCTTGGGATTGATGCTGGGTTTTAACAAAGATGGTAGAGGTAAAGAATAAAATGACTAAAACAGTAACATATGCAAACATGTCAATGGTTTGACTTGGTCAAACACAAAAAAACTGTAAACTGTAAGAAGTCCAATCTCAATTAGAAAACATGTATCAAATGTAAACGTTACATTAAATTGTAAATTATTGCTTTGCTTAGAATCACACAGAACTTCCATGGACACAAGAAGGTGACACCACTGTGCCAAGTTACAGATCAGATTTGTGGAGAGGCGACCCCTCTCACAGTATGGATGTTTTTCAAGGTATTTTTTGAGTAATAAAATCTACTGATAATAACACCTGATAAAAATACATTTAATACTGTGGCAAACCAAAGCAGGAGTTAGAACACTCACCAGACAACAGTATTTTATGGTATTTTGTCAATATATTTATTATAAATAATAATAAACCTAGCCTTTTTATAATATACAACCATCAACCTGAAATAAATAACACACATATACCACATTTGGACTTAATTGTAGGCATCTGAATTGTCTCTGAAGACATTTCATTGTGAACAGTGTCGTGTGTTGTCTTACCCATGCAGAGGTAAGGCACCACTATGGGGGCACGGTTTGGACAGTGACCCCAGCCTTTCTTACACCACTGCGGGATGGTGACGGGTTTGTTTGCCTCTTCAGCATGGGAAATTTGAAGATTGGGGTACATCTGGAGGTCCATGCAGAGAATGGAGAAATAGTAACAGGGACAGAACAAAAGGTCAGAGGGCAAGGGTCCAACAGAGGGTTTTAGAGACACTCAGAGGTAGCATACTGCAAAAATTATATCAGCATTCGGTAAAATGACTTAAATCCAGTATAAATCTTGTTTTGAGCATATTAAGTTAATTTAATTGAATATATTAAGTTAATTTAATATAAATTGTATTTAATAAGACAAAAACTTGAAGTTCTATGACTGATAGTCCAAAAATGGAAATGTTTAAAATAATTTTAATACTTCAAAACAAGCAAAAATCAATTAAAACAAACAAACAAACAAATAAAAAACAACTGAAATTAAGTAACTTTAATTTATGCAGATATTGCTTTTAGCAGTGAACACAGGGACATACTGTATATTCAGCAAACAGGGGAAAAAGTCATGCAACATTTTCTCTTCCACTATATAAAGCATTAATGAAGCTAAGACTACATGTTAGCTTCATGTTTAGCTGCTTTCATTTCAAATCCAGGTCAAAGACGGAAGCACAAACCCATAATAATGAGGTTTAAACACAGAGAAAGAAAACTGACCCTGAGTCTAAAGATGGTTTCACAAAAGTCGAGCAAAATTGAAGGATTTTGTCTGAAAGCCTTTGCAGACCATAATGCAGCAGTTAATCCTATTACAGTCTATTGAGGTTATCAATGTCACTGCTGGCTGTTATGCACAGTTTGGCCAGCAGAGGGAGCAAGAATCCTTTTATCATAACTGTATTATTCATGCACTCATTTTCACAGGAACATATAGTACACAGAAAGATGGCGGCATTGATGGTAAATATACTAGTATATTTCTAAATAGACAATACAATATTTGCAAAATTGGAGCGGCATGAATACTAATCTCAACTACATGTGTTTAAAAAATCCAGATGAATTTTAAATCAAGGGAAATTAATCAAATTAAACAACACTTCACAGTAAAGTAGGAGTCTGTAACATGTTCTGAGACAAATAGGGGAAATAACAAAAAAAAACATACTCTTAGTCAATTCTAATTGAGACAATCACAGCCATCTTTCTGTCAGTAAAAGCATGTGCAAACTTGAAAGTTCAGGCTTTGGAAAAAGAAATTTGACTAATACGTTTTAAATCAAAATAATTGTTCATGTTCAGGAAACCAGTATTGAAAGCCATTTTAATTTAGACACTGAATAAGTGTGATTTAAAAAATCAAGATTGTTCAATGTGAGGTCAGCATTACCACAAAGGCTTCCAGACAATTTCAGTAGACTAATTTGGGCAATACAGACTACAAAAAATGTGTCTTTTGGTTTTGTTTTCCCATTAATCAGTGATAGTGTAGTGATAGTTTCTTCTATGGTCTATGCTCACCTCTTGGCAGTAGGACAGGACCTGGCTGTGCTCAGTGAAGCAGCCCTGGCGCCCCTGGGGGTCAGGCTCCCACTGTCCCGTCTGAGTGTTCATGTAGAGGAGCACACGGCCACAGTACATGGCAATCTGCGGCTGAGGCTCAGACAGGCCCGGCCCATTCACCTCATTCATCGCTAGAGCCTGGAAAAAAACAGATATAGAGAGGACAAGTTCATATCAGAGGATGTCCCTTAGTATATAATACAAACATTAAAATGAGAATTATTGTTAAAGAAATGCTGTTTGAGAAGTTTTAATAAATTAAGGGTAATTGCCAAATAAGGATATGTAGGACTTAAGCTTGATTCTCTGGACAGTGCAGGCATATTTTTCAAAATGGTTTAATTGCTGTCAGTATCATCAATCAGTTTTGAAAAATAAATATGAACAAAATAACTTACATACAAAAATTACATGTTGTATACAAAACATACTATATACACACAAATATGTATGTTTTAGTTAAAAGTTTGCAATTTTTAAAAACTTTTTTCATCTTAAGATTTCAGAGTCCAGGTTAGTCCAAATTAAAATAACAGAAGTATTCTGTTAAGTTTGTAAAAACATACTGCATATAATAGTAATTTTACTACTAATATACTTAAAAAGCTCCAACTCTTCCAAGCCACAGCCTATGAATTAGTTTGTTTATTACGATCCCCTTTAGGCATTACACTGACAATGGCTATTCTTCCTGGGGTCCACACATAGTTAATGCTGAAAATGCTCAGAGTTATAAAGCACTGCTCGCTGGTTTAGATCACAGAGGAATCCAGGATGGTCCATGAAAAGAAGGTATGTAAATGACAGCTCCTCCTGCTCTGCCTCCTCTGGCCTTCTAGGATGTTGTTATTGATCACAGGATATGTTGCCCTGCTCAGGAGGCACCCATGGGACCCCACACAGAGGAACAAACAGCAGAGAGGACTGGAGTCAGGTGTTAATACAGCCGCATTGACCGGTGAGCCACTTCACTACATTAACAGTGCACAGGAAAAGATGGGAAATAGACTAATGTGCAAAGGTTTTCAATAGAGTTGCAAGAATAATCAAATCAAAATCACAGTTGGAAGAACTGTAATTAGCAAAATACTAAGGTTGGAACTATTTACTACTACTACTACTACTGTCCAGTGTCTCCATGGGGAATTGCTAACAGTGTTGTAAAGACCTACATTGAAATGCATGCAAATCTTTAATTAGTTTTTGTTTGTTTGTTTAGTTCTTTTTCTATTTTTTGGAGCCAGGATTAAACCAGAACTAAACCAGCAGCAAAAAGGGTTCTCCAAGCCAGGACCAACCAGGACCAAACCAAGACACTCATCCAAAACATTCATCTCTCAAAAGTTAATTCTTCAGCACACTGTGAACTGAATCTATTATATATATATATATATATATATATATATATATATATATATATATATATATATATATATATATATATATATATATATATATATATATATATATATAATTTTTTAGGAAAAAAAAACAGACTAGATTTTTTCCTCCCACAAACCTTTCAGCCCTAGTTACAAGCTAAAAGATATCAAGATGCACAGACAGGTCATGTTCCAACTGGTGAGCAAATCTTCTCTAGTTTCCTCCAAAAATGAGAAAAAGAATCTCCCTTTTTGACAGGTACATTTGGGGGTAGAAAGTACATGTAATCTGAACTTTTTAACCCTGAAAACCTCTTAATGATGAAGCCTGGAGCCATGGTGTACTGTAGCTGCATCCTTTCATGTGCTCTGACAGAGATAGAGCCACTGACGACACACAAGACGCCTGGCGCTGCAGAGCCAATTACTACAGTGACTAAGCCTGAGGAACAAGTGTGGAGAGAAAATATTGGAGGCCATCAAAGACACTCTCACCAACTACTACGAAACATGTTTGAACTTTAATTAACATTTACTCAAATACTGTGCACTGTTGGTGTACAGATGTCATCACACAAATTAATTAAAAAGAAGATTTAAAATAACAAAAAAAATGGCAAAGATTCATTTATCCAAATCCGTACTACACAGATTGGAACAATTCAAATTCATTTTATACATTTCTATTCATTAAGGAGAAATAATTAGTAGCTGTAAGCGCTGCTTGAACTGCCCCATCAGCCACTTCAGAAGTTCAGCAAACATCTAAGCGCTCTCTGTTTGACTCGGAGAAGGTCAGTAGCACAAAGAATAAACAAACTTCCGGATATTTGAGCAGAAAACCTGCAGATCCCTCTGGCCCGGCGCTCATTCTGCTGCTCTTCACTACTGCATTTGCAGAAAATCAATGGTGAGCGACTGCAACTGTATCGCCACGTTCTGCTAAATCAATAGTAGTCCATCAGGAGCCTGAGGCTCTGACCTCCAGCTCTCTAAGGCTGCACGCCCATCTACAGTGTGATGGGACGAGATTACATGTCCCTCCTATGATAACACCAATAAGAAACATTGTTTAAGACCACGACTTCTCCGCCCACACAGTGAGTATGACACAGTGAGTATGTATGTATGTATATATATATATATATATATATATATATATATATATATATATATATATATAATGTTAATTAATTAGTCTGAAAATAGCAGAAACATAATTGGACAAAAACCCTTTTGTGCATGCCTGATCCAGGCACTGTCTGAGAACGTGACTTGTCTTTGCTTGTAGTTCCTAATCACATTTGGAGCTCTGGCGGTGTAGTTCTACAAACTGTTATAGATTGAAACCTCCTGACAGCTGTGTTTGGTCGGTCCATTATCCATACACAGGGAGTCCCTGAGATGCACAAAGAAAAATAAGCAAAGCTTTTTTTCTGCAGATATAAATAGGTTTTGTACTTTAGTATCAATACTGTATGTGTACACATAGAACAAATGAGAATATGCCAGCTAAATGCATATTTGGGTTAATAACACTGTTGACAAATGTATATTGACAAATATGTGTTTTTGAGTGCACTGACATCAGACTGTAATCTCCTTCTGTTTAGGATTTTCTGTAGACACATACTGTTTTAAAATAGTTGTGCATATTCATAATAGGGCTGGATTTTAGAAGAGATCAAAATCATAACTAAACCTGACCATAAACCTACAGCACAGTGTGGTCGGCCTGGTTCAGTATTATGTGGTAACTAGAGGCCTAAATGCAGTGGAGCCACATATCATGTCCCAGTGCTGAGGAGGCAGAGTGCTCAGGTCCTGGCAGCTGCCCACTGCAGAAAACTGCCCCATTAATAACAAACTGGTGATATAAAGCTGCAGACATTGATTGGCTTTTTGGTTCTTTCAACGCCTGCTTTTCCTCTTGGCCTTTGTGATGTATTATCTTTTAGATTGCAAGGTTTTCAATTTAGGCTGTACTTTGGTGTATACACAAATTGACATGATAATGATAATGTTCATAAATTCAATTTAACATAATTTCTTAGAGGAAAATTTTTAGTTTTCATGATTCATTTGTGGTGACATAGTCTATTTTCTTTAGTGCTCTCCTGGAACCCACCAGAGATCAAAACTTGCTATCAATGGAAAAATATTTTTTCAGTACTAGTTGGTCAAATATTTATGCTGTACTTCCATGGATACACAGATAGACATATTCAACAAAACAATTCTGAATACTGGACAGTTACAGTGCAATAGGACTCCTAAACCCCAACAGTGTAATAATATGTAAGTTATGCAGTTATGAAGCACCATAACGATTCTGACATGATGTTGTGGCATAGATTTAATTTCTCTGTAAATAGAGTTTTCACCCAATTTGATTTTGGCTTGGATAGTGGTTTTACATGTCCCAACAACTCCATCCTCCCTGGCCTAATTAAATTTTCAGCACCTGTTCCACCCTTATGTTGCAGCATGACTTCATCCCATAATGATGCAATCTCTTGGCCCTGTCAGGCAAGTATAAGGCAGAAAGGGGAGGAGTCCACCAATCATTTGTCAAACGACAAGTGGCTGGCAGAGTGCACACTACGGCGCAATTCCACAAACGCACAGAGTACTTCAAAGCCAGGCGAGCATCACATGGTACATGGGCTTTGATAACACATAAAACACCGCATTGATCTTTAATTCTGTTTTATCCTGCATTTGTTACAGTAATTTGTTTAGTGTTCACACTCGTGAAGTCGCAGTAGGGCCAAAGTATGTGAGCAGGATATATACACTACAAACAGACTACAAAAAGATACAGGACCAACACGAAGTCCCCATTCAACATCCCTCTTGTTTCCCATATAGTTCTGTTTGTTCAGGATAAAGTGATTATTGAAGGTACGAGAAGTTCTTCGTTGGTTTGAACAGAATGAGGTCATATTGACAACCTGTGATGTAAGATTGGCAAAATAAATTAGCAATACTGAAGAAAAAAAAAAAAAAAAACTTAGAGAAAGTAGGACAAAAATGTAATTTTGATCTACATCAGAACTAATACAAGATCACATGGTAACATTAAAAAACCTGCTAGGATGCTGTGTTAAAAATGGCATGTGTTTTTATCAGTATGGTATCAAAATCAATACTGAGCCTCAACCCTTTTTTCTAGTATCAAAACCAAGATTGAAATTTTATGACAACACAACTGCCTCGTCATCATTCAAGATGAATTTGCTTTTATGGGGTAACCAAAACCATTTATTGTTTTATTTGTTTACCAGAAACAGTATAACTCATTGTGAGCTGTTATGATTGAATAATGAGATAAATAAAGATGATACAAAAATCTAAATCGGTTGTATACGTACCAATGCACTGTGAACTACTCTTGTGTAAACCTGATTTAAATGGCCCATTGCCAGCGCCACAGCAGCGAAATTACAAAACAGAGCCCACAGCTAAACTGTGCTCTTCTGATACTGTATCTCCTGCTTCACTGCGGCACAGATGGTGGAGTAGCGAGAGTGTTCCTGAGGGCACTATCTTCTCTCCTCAGCCCTTATTCAAAGCTACATTTAAAGGTGTAATATGTAAGTTTTTAGATGGAGGGTCTGAAATCTTCTATTCTCCATGGCAATGTTATATTTCTGCCTGAAATGTTCCACAGAATGGCATAAAACTTAGCAGTATCCATAACAAGCAGGTGACTCCATCCATAGGTTTTAGAATGAATTTTGACTATTACATCTT